TAGATTGGAGGTTGTGGAAGATGACCTTTCCCACAAAACCACCCAAGAGCAAGCCTAGTAGAAAACCCTGAATAGAAAAATCCTTATTCATTGAAGCAAGAGCGTTTATAAGATCGTCCAAGGAAGGCACACCATTTGTCATTTATGCGGCTTCAACTACCGGGGAGAAGATCTCGACAACAAGTATATCGGAGCAATATAAGGATTTTAAAGACATGTTTCAAAAGAAGAATGCCGACATGCTACCGGAACACCGACCATATGATTGCACCATAGACTTGCAGGAAGGAGCACAACCGCCTTTTGGCCCAATCTACAATCTATTGTAAATGGAGTTAGCGGAGTTGCGGAAGTACATCGACGAGAATCTAGCCAAGAACTTCATCCGTCATTCAAAATCGTCAACTGGAGTACCCATCTTATTTGTGAAGAAGAAAGATAGCTTGTTGCGGATGTGCGTGGACTATCGAGGCCTCAACAAGGTAACAAAGAAGAATCGTTATCCATTACCCTTGATTTTTGGTCTCTTAGAACAACTCGGACGTGCAAGGATCTTTACAAAAATTGATCTAAGGGGAGCTTACAACCTCGTACGAATGAAGGAAGGAGATGAGTGGAAGACAGCGTTCCATACAAGGTATGGCCATTTTGAGTATAATGTCATGTCCTTTAGTCTTACCAATGCTCCAGCGGTCTTTCAACATATGATGAATGACATTTTTTGAGAGTACCTTGATGATTTTGTTGTCATCTATTTGGATGATATTCTGACATTATCCAAAAACAAAGAAGAGCATGAAAAGCACGTTCATTTGGTCTTGGAGAAACTATGCAAGCGAGGACTATATGCCAAGTTGGAGAAGTGTTTATTTCACCAAATAGATATGGAATTTCTAGGATTTGTTGTGACTATGAAAGGCTTGAAGATGGACCCCAAGAAGGTGGAAGCAATCGTGTCCTGGGAGGTTCCGAAGACGGTTAGAGACGTACAATGCTTTCTTGGTTTTTCCAACTTCTATCGGATCTTCATCAAGAATTACTCTCAAGTTGTTGCTCCTCTCACTCGGTTGACATGCAAGGATAAGCTGGAATGGAGACCTCTAGCGGAGAAGGCGTTTCAAGACCTGAAGACCACATTTACTACGGCTCCAATCTTGGTACATCCAGACTTTACAAAGACCTTTTATTTAGAAACAGATGCTTCGAATTTTGCTTTGGGAGCTGTACTTTCATAAATGGGAGAAGACAAGAAGCTCCATCTGGTTGCATTCTATTCTCGAAAGTTCTCTACTGCTGAAATCAATTATGAGATCCACGATAAGAAACTTCTTGCTATAATGGATTCTTTCCATGAATGGCGTCATTTTCTTGAAGGAGCTACACACCCAGTGACCGTATACATAGATCACAAGAATTTGGAGTATTTCATGTCGGCTCGAGTTCTAAATCGACGTCAAGCTTGGTGGAGTATGTTGCTATCTAGGTTCGATTTTGTTATCACTTATCGATCTGGAAAGCAGCAAGGACTATCTGATGCCTTATCGAGGAGATTGTATCTTGTACCAAAGGCTGGAGAAGCAGCATTTAATCAACAATGTACGACATTGTTGAAGCTAGAGCAATTTCAGCTTTGTGCTACTATTGTGCCAATTGATGCTGACTTCTTGAATCAGGTACATGCCTTGACCATTGAAGATTCAATAGCCATTGATATTAAGCAACGTGCCAATGACGACAAGTTCAAGGTGGAGGGAGATCTTTTATACTTTAAGGGTGGTTGTATATCCCAAAAGGACCAGCACGACTCCGAGTTCTTCAATCTTGCCATGATTTTCCGGTTGCGGGACATTTTGGATTCAACAAGACCTTGGAGCTTATTTCTCGAGATTTTTGGTGGCCCCAAATGTGGAAGGATGTGAAAGATTTTGTCCTCTCCTGCGACATCTATTCTAGATCCAAGAATCCTCGGCATCATCCTTATAGACTCTTACAGCCATTGCCGATTCTATGTCGACCATGGTCTTCAATTCCGATGGACTTCATTACGGACCTGCCATCATCGAACTCATTTGACAACATCTTTGTTGTGGTAGATCGGCTTACAAAGATGGCGCACTTTGTCCCTTGCAAGAAGACATCGTCTAGTGAAGTCACAGCAAGACTCTTTCTCGATAATGTGTATCGATATCATGGACTACCAGATGATATCATTTTAGATCGAGGAACCTAGTTCGTGTCAAAGTTTTGGAGATCTCTCTTTGAGATACTGAAGGTGGATATCAAGCTTTCTTCGGCTTTTCATTCTCAAACTGATGGCCAAACGGAACGGGTGAACCAAGTCTTGGAACAATACTTACGATGCAGCATCAACTATTAGCAAGACGATTGGACCACATATCTGCCGCTAGTCGAGTTTGCATATAACAACACCCTCCATGTGTCAACTCAATACACACCATTCTTTTCCAACTATGGATATCATCCGAAGCTTGATTTATTGAGTCCGTCAACAAATAACAATCCAGCAGCTGAAGGATTTGCAAAACAACTATCAGAGCTTCAAAATACGTTGAAGCTTCAATTACAATCTGTTCAAGAATCCTACAAGGCGTCTGCAGATAGATTTCGGAATCAAGCACCTACTTTCAAAATTGGAGATAAAGCATGGCTTCTTCGATGGAATATCAAGATCAAGCGACCATGTGATAAGTTGGACTATCGAAGATTGGGACCATTTATCATCCAGAAGCAAATCAATCCAGTGGCGTACCGTCTAGAATTACTGGCTTCTATGAAGGTACATCCAGTCTTTCATGTTTCTCTGTTGGAGCCTTATCGAGAGTCATCTTTTCCCAAAAGAGTGCAATGTCCGCCACCTAGTATTGAGATCGAGAATCACGAGGAATACGAGGTTGAAAAGGTACTAGATTCATGGCGAAGGTGGGGCAAGTTGGAGTATCTTGTTCATTGATGCGGTTACGACATTAATGAGCGAACGTGGGAGCTAGTTAAAAATCTCGCCAATGCACCGCAAAAGGTATAGGAGTTTCATCAACAACATCCTCATAAACCTAAGTCGGTTCGACGATAGCTTGCTTCTGAAGCTTACTCACCCAAGAATATAAGAAAAGGGGAGAGCACCACCAAAATTCGTAGTTGATGTAGTTATTTTTTCTAAGATAAAATAGAATTTTTTCAGTAGCCATAGTTTGGTCTTCTGATATGGATAGCCAAGAGATAGATACTATGCCAGTCAGATTATCTCAACCGACTAGCTCACGAAGGCGACCCCGAGATGAAGAACCACCTACACCACGACGACGATGAAGGATACCGAGTAACCGATCACTCGTGATTGTATTTGAGTCCGAGCCTGCTTACGATGGTCAGCCAGAAGGCGTGTTTGAAGGACAATTTCACAATGAAGACACGGAAGTTCATGCTTGGTCAGAAGTTGAAGGAGTGGGCCACTATCATTTGCTTCAAGGGCCGATGAATCACTTGCCTCGTGAACAACAGTTGGAGTTCATAGCAGACGTTATGCGACAGATCTTCATTTTCTTGCGTTGGTACTGATTAACAACAACATTGCTTCTTAGAGACCTTGAAGCTAAAGGAGGGGGTGATGTTAGGGACATAGTCTTTAAAACCTTCTAGAGACAAGCTTCTAGAACCTTCTAGAAGCAAGTCTTTGGAACGTTTTAGAAACTTCTTAGTTGGTAGAAGATGTTAGGGACATAGTCCTTAGAACCTTCTGGAGATAAGTTTCTAGAACCTTCTAGAAGCTTCCTAGTTGGTAGAAGTTGCTTGAGAAGCTTCCTAAATAGGAGTATATATTGGAATCGAGGCTGAAGAGTTCTTCAGTCTCGACAACACATCTCTTGGAGCTCTAGCTCACCTCTCTGGTGTTGTTCTTGTATTCATCTGATTAATCTAGTTCTTGCCAGTTCTTCTCAAACTTCTTGTTAGATCTCGAGTCTGTATTTCTCTGTCCGTGACAATAATGGTATTTTGATTCTTCTAAAACACATTATCTTTTATCAAATTAGAAAGAAATTGAGGATTGTTTACTAAATATTAACAAATAAATTAGTACACAATAAAAATTTACATATTACAATATAGTAACAAGAAAAAATTTCAAAATTCAAGTACTATAATATGATTCAAATGAACGTAAATGTTGTAATTCTGTTACAAATACAAATGACCCAAACCACAAAAGTTTTTATTTTTAATATAATTTTCTCATACTTTGATACTCTTCAATTTTATTATTTGATAAGTTGGCTCTTCTACAAACTATAGTAATTATTCATGTAACTTTTCAACATAATATATCATTCAATAATTAAACTTTTTTTTTCCTAATATATATCAAATTTAGAATTCGCATTGATAGTACAATGAACTTTTTAAAACTGCAATATAGTAAAATAAATCATCTTTCTTTTTTGTACATCTATACCTGAATCATATCTGTGAAAAACTATCTAGGAGTTAGTTCACCTGAAAGGTGACTTGTTAAAATTTACATGTATCAATAAATGATACATAGTTTTATTATATAGTTACATGTAATTGTAGACTTTTACTTTTATGTTTACTTTTATCTTTAAAAAATTATGTTCTCAATATTATAAACATCATCCACGTCACTCATATTTTACTATGGACACATCGAGGAGCAGAATCTTACAACATGATTTACTAAACTGTTGGGTACAAAGCATCGCCAAAATCATATCATTACCTTCACATCAACGACATGGCTGTTGAAAAAACCCTGCGCGGGATCGAGCTAGAAACCGCGCTTCAGAACCGCAAATGAACGGCGTTGTGATGGCGCGTGAAACCGCGCTTCAGAACCGCAAATGAACGGCGTTGTGATGGCGCGTGAAACCGCGCTTCAGAACCGCAAATGAACGGCGTTGTGATGGCGCGTGAAACCGCGCACGAGACCCAGAACAAAGCGAGTTTCAAGGACGGCTTCGGGAGTGCCAGAGCCTCCAATCGATCACAAATTGCCGTTGCATGTCGGGAATCCAGAAAATTGTTTCATCGTAGGAATCGAGTGCGGGGAAGCGCCGTGAGAGAGCGAGCGAGAGCGACAGAGAGATTGGGTCAGGGATGACTACGGGAGGGATGAGTGCCGCGAGAGGCATGAGTGCCTTGTTCCGCTCCTCGCAAATGGCGTCGGCAATGCGGTTGCGAGCAGGCGCTGGTTTGCCCGTAGGTAGCATGGAAGTTCCTGCTCATCCTGTGAGTTTACTCCTCCCCCGCCCTCCTTCGTGCTCCTCGCTCTGGTTCATTTTTGGGTAGCCTCAGGAGTTTTTGTTAGTTTCGGAAGGGTTAGTAGGAAGAATCTAACACCCTTGTAGAATTTCAACTCATGGGGATGTTTTTTTAGGATTTAGGGTTACTGCTTTAGTGTCGGTTGTATACATGGGGGCTAGTATGGTGTTTTTTCCAACGTTTTTATCAACATATGTGAAGGGTTTTTAACCTTCCACTTTTGCGGATGGATCGCTGGCTAGTGAGGGTTTTGAGTTTTGGCTCACCAATTACGAGTGTCTGATTATGGGGTTTAGGTGTGATTGTCGGTTGATGTAGGTCATTGATAGCGGATAAACATTGAGAGTCGTGTTTTTGTTTGATCTGCAGCTTCCTGAGAACGCAGAGCTTATTTGGGACGATGGAAGTCCGTTCCCAGAGCCATGTCTTGACAATGTAGCTCCTATGGTGGGCAAGGTGAGTTTAGGTTGCGCTGCCAGCCCAATTTTAAGAGGATATAAGATTCGATTTCGATTCATGAAGATGGATTATAGCGGTTGATGGTGTTCATAATGTTTTAGTTCTCTTGTGATTTTTTATTTTTATTTTTTTATGTTAACTCCAGTCGCTCTTTTCTTGAGTACTGCCGGAAACTATCTTCCAATGTGACATCGATGCTCAGTTTCCATTTTTCCGTTGTTTCCTAAATCTTGTAAAGGAGTGGAACATTGTGTAGTCCTACCTATTACACAATTATTTTGTAATGTTATGTGAATTCTGACTCTTTGCGTGGAACAATGATGGAATTAGCAGCGCTTCTTTGGATTAGAATTGTTCGTAATTGGAGTTTATTTGATACGTCTTGTACCGGTGCAGTATGAAGCGCTGGCTTGGCTCTTGGGAGGCATGGGATTGTTTGCCGGGATTGGTGGCTTGGCTGCTTGGAATGACAAAGCTTCACGAATTCCTTGGGTAAACACACTGAATTTTTCCACTCTGATTCTGATTCTGATTTTCCTTTGTTTAGATTGTAATTGATTGTTTAGACCAGGGTCTTCTAGTATCGTTTGATGATCAAGGTAGTTTCACATCACTATTGTGGTTTATTTGCTTCATTTAAAAATTGCTGAAACTTTTCTTCAGGCACCACGGGAGTATCCTTACGACGACTTAAAGGTGGAGCTTGGTAAAGAGTGAACCTTGGTAGAGTAGTCAGTCCTAAAGCTGGTAGATTGAATCAGATCATTACATCTGCTGTGTTCTTTGCAGGGACTAAACTGAAGGAAGTTCTTTATCAGTTAGTTTTAGAGCATATATTGAACCTCAAACTGTGTTGGTTGTCTGAGATAGGCCTCCGAGCCATACGAAGACTTCATGTAGAATGGCTTAGTACCTGCAGATGACATCCACGTGCTCATCTCTTTGTACAGGCTGACTGAAATAAAGTGATGATAGTAGGTTCAAGAGTGTTCTTATTTTTATTTATTATTTACTTATTGATACACTCGTTTAATTTTTATACCAATTGTTTTGATTCTTTTGAAATACTATTGTAACATTCCGTCTTTGTCGGGATAAGAAGCATCAAGGTTGAATGATTCATATGGTGTAGTGCATGTGGTTTGTGAGTGATAAGCTAGCCTTGTTCAGCAGTTTTGAGATACAACACTAACCTTGTGTCCTAAGTGTTCAGGTGCAGAGAGCCCAGACAAGCAAAACAAGGGAAGGATTTGGAGGCAGAGAGGTGGGTAGATAAATTACAGTGTGGAATGAAGCTCTTAAAAGTTACATTTGTTTATGATTTTCTCAAGTATAAGTTAGGTTTATATATTCGAAGGCAAGTTTAAAATATTGCTGTTAAAGAGCACAACATTCTAAAACAATACATGATAGAGAATGTATTATAAATACAGTCCTGTTTGTCTCAAGTCCTTATTATTCGTTGGATATGATTTTGAATTGAAATCTCTGCATTGCAACTACTTCACACAAAATTGGATGTAATCAATATTATTATATTCTCTCTATTTTTGTAAAAACAATAAACTATGATTCTTGTATCAGTTGTTAAACATTATATTCGTCTGTCTTATGCTTGTGCAAAATAGCAAATGAGTGCTCTGGAGCTGTAAAATGCAGTAGAAAAGTCAAATAAAGCTGACCTCGACATTGTACCCTAGGTGAAACAGATTCGATGCAAATGTCATATATCAACACGATGAAGAATTCTTGAGAATTAATTAAACAATCTCTCATATATGTGACTAAACATGTACGACTAATCAATCTCTCATTAAGTGTTTTGCTAAACATAACCACATATTTATGTTCGTATGTCAACTTTCAACTGAGAATGGTCCAACAACTAAATAAATAGAATCACAAATGTACATACATTCATGCAAAAAGAAATGAAATGATTCAATTTAATATAATTCATTTACGTATACATATATATACACTATTCAAACTCATGACCCATATGCATCTATAATAGTGCATGTGCCAACTTCAACACAATCCAATGCAACAGTTCTATCTTGTGACAACACTCATTTACGAAACACATAAGATACTCTCAATGAAATCATTCTTGGAACATTTGATGGCAGTGATGCTTCAATAGACATAATTAAAATCATACTGAACCAAAAAAAATATAAATAAAACATGATCAGAATAATTGCTTGGTTGAAAACCCGCATTTGGAGCGGAGAAATGAAAGGTACAGAATGCGGATGAAGGTTTCCTTCAAGTATGACAACGGCAGCTCACCAAGACCCAAAAAAAAAAGAATAAGAATAAGAAAAAAAGACTAAGATAAAAGAACAAAGAATGTGGAGAGTTTACGACAGCTTGACTTCGACATCTACTCCGGCTGGGAGGTCCAGCTGCATCAAGGCGTCGATGGTCTGAGCATTAGGGTTTTCCAAGTCGATGAGGCGCCGGTGCGTCCTGATCTCGAAATGCTCGCGTGAGTCCTTGTTCACATGGGGCGATCTCAACACGCAGTACACGCGCTTCTTGGTAGGCAGCGGCACGGGCCCCATGGTCTTGGCGTCCGAGTTCCGTGCCGCTTCCAAGATTTGTTGGCATGCTTGCTCTATCAAGTTCACCCAGTACGATCGAAGCTTGATGCGGATCTTTTGCTTCGTGGCAGTCTGACCGAAACAGATGGATGTTAGAGATCAGTGTGGAGACTTAACAAGGATATGACAGATTGTACAGTACTAACACCGAAGCAGTCGAACTTTGTAGCGAAAACGTCGACTCGAACATACCGGAGCTTCGCTGGCAACTGCTGCCCTCACTGTGAGCCTGGAGTGACGGGGAGTAGACCACGTCTGGGCGGAAGTTTGCCACACTTCATTTAAGCTGCTGCTGGGAAAACCGTCAGCCCTCAACCCCTCAAAAGTCGATAGATGAGCCTACAGTCGACAAACTTTGGATTAGACATGTTCTGGAATCAATTGACGTGAATTTCATGAGTCTAATGCTAGGGTAGGTCGTTCGAATGATGAACAGTGTGATCACTTCTAGTCCAATTCTCCTTCTCTCGAAAGTAGATATGCGTAAGGTTTCCCCAGATATTGAGTTTCTTAGTTTTCAAAGCGTGTGTATATACAATCCATCACGAAATTCTATCCCTCGCGAGTTTTCCAATTGGATGATTGCTCGAAATTTAGCAGTGCATTGTGTGACTCTTGTCATACTCTGCATCTTCAAAAGATAGTTCGTCAAGAAAGACACATTCGCTCTGGATTGCACGAGTTCAGCTTCCGCGACCAAAAACTCTCTCCGAGTAGCGCAGGATTAATTCAAAAAGGTCAAATACCTCCCTCAAACTAGTTAAGCACAAAATGCAGCGGGCAAGCTCTTGAAACATCCAGGATAGGACAAAACCCTACGCCAATTGCATACAAATTCCCACTCAAACCCATGAGAAACCCCAATGCTCGCCTTAAACCTCAACACTACTATCAAATTATCACCAACACAGAACAGCGCACCGAGAAGTCCAGCAGAAGATATCAAGCTCGCCAACCCAACCCTCAAAACTACTCCAAAAAAACACAAAAACAAAAACGAAAAATTATTAACACTAACACGCATCAATTACCGCACGAATTTTCAAAACTCACGTGCAAGAGTAACCACAACATGTCCCATAATACGAAAGATGAGATGCAGACGCACAGCGGAAGGCGAGACTTTGAAGATGGTCGCGCGTGAGGAGGAGGCGGAGGAGGCAATTGCGGAAGGAAGAGCCACGACAGAAGCAGCAGACGCAGGTGCAAGAATTGCAGTAGACGCCATCGCTGCAATCCCACAGCAATTCCTGCGCAACAACTGCGAGCGAGGAATCGCAAAACAGACAAACAAACAATAACAACAACAACAACAATTGCAATACGCTTCTCCTCCTCCTCCTCTTCCTGGCCCCCAGCCTCCAACGCTGTGGATAAGATCCCTCATCGACGAATGAATGGTAATTAGAGGATGTATGTGGGTGGTTTGGATGATACCCGGTCGGCATTCTCTGTTCACACAGGTCCACGCTCCAATGGTTTAGGGTTTAGGATTTATAGAACTTGAATTCAAGCTTTGAGGAATCCAAGTTTTATAATAAAACAATACGAGATAGAGAATTCGTAAAACATTTGGTATGCAATTTGCAAAACTCGAGGATGGGAAAACCGTTGCACCGTATCATTGAGGGGTTCTACAAAGCAATGGTTGTAGAGAAAAATGTTTTGGGTGTAGATGGAAAAGTGAGTGCTGATGTGTTCCCCTTTCAATGTTATATAATGAAAGTATTATTTTTATTTTTCGAAAATTTCATATTGGAAATAACATACTTATCTAATTATTTAAATATCGTTTTTTTTTTGGTCTGAGTCCTGTTTTTGAGACATCTATCTGACTAATTCGATGTTTTAACAATAGAAGCTCTTTGATTATGAAGATGTTTTATAATGCCATATTCTAGCTATATTGTAACCTTGTGCCATTCTTTTTTGTAATTTAAGTATGCATGTATATGTGTATATATATATATATATATAGAGAGAGAGAGAGAGAGAGAGAGATTGTAATAAAGAAGTATTTTAAAATAGTACAAAGTTATGTCTATTAGTGTATATATATATATATATATATATATACACATAGAAATACATTTAGAAATTAAAGTTTCAGAAAAATGTTTTTATAATTTATGATTTATCAAAATAATTAATATAGATATAAAAAAGGAATAACATTTCAATAGCAAAGTCAAGTAAATAATTTACTTTATATGATTTGAAAGAAAATCCCAAGTATTTTTTTTTTCCCAAATTGAATTGAGTTGTGTAAAAATAAATGTTGTTAAGAACCAATTATCAATTCATTTATTCAATTCATTTTTCTGAATATGTTTGTCTTTGCTGTGCCATAGCAGAAAATTGTGTTTACAAAATACATCTAATCAAATCAAATTGCAGAGGTAAAAATTATGCATATGTTGTTGTTGTTATTGGTTATTTATTTATTTATTTATTTTTCCAATTATGTGTCTCATTAAAATGTGCGACATATACAAATAGAGTTGTATATGTCACATCCATGTTGACATTGAGATGCTACATTCCTTAGTCAATGTCTATTAAAATATGATATTGTCAAACAATAAAATAGTTGATAAATAAATAAAATCACTTCATTATTATGATTAAGATACAAAATATGTATTTCCATGTATAGATATACGAAATTTATATTTTATTAATAGGAGTAATTTAGCCATAAATTCTTTTGATGTATTTCTAGGTGTATATATATATATTAAAAAATTTCTGGTTCTTCTTATGGTCTATTCTAAATTATTAAGCAAGTGGAAATCAATATTATTTGTCCTTTGCAAAAAAAATTGGAAGAATAATGTGGTGAAAATAATGTATTGATAAAAGTCAAATGGAACAATTGATAAACAATGAATGGAAGAGTTTTTGGTCCCCCTTGATTAGTCCTTCCATTGAACTAAAGATGATTCCCTTCAATCTCAACATATGCTTGTTTATACCACCTGTTGTTTGATCCATAACTAAGAATGTTTTATTGCAACTCATAAAAGACCCTTTTGATGAACAACTTACACATGGTGTCTACAACCTTTAAAACCATTCTTAACAACATCAATTAACATCCAATATAAAATTATACTCCATCTTCTTCTTCCCATCCCTCTAGCAAATTATATTCTCTAATTGTTTCTACATAGTTTTTGAGCCACTCAAGTATATCTAATATCACATCTTCTCTTTCACAGCTTCAATTGATAAAGACAACCATTTTATAACCATGTATGCATATTTCAGACTTAAATACACCAAGTCATCCCAATATTTGATGCACCATACTTTATTTATTTATTTATATTTTAATGCTAATATTTAACCAAGACCCAAATTAATAAATAGAATAGAAAATAAAAGACTTGACTGAAGCCAGTCACCAACACTGCGCGCAGACGGGACTGCAGACCGAGCTTGAAGAGAAACGGGGTCAGAGGACCACGCAGGAAACTGTGGTCAAGCAGGCGCACAACCAGGCGCGCAACCAGGGCAGGAAGTTGCACGCCGCAGGCCCACTTGCGGCGGACTCCCCGAGGTGGGGCCCAAATCAACTCGGCCCTCAAACCACCCACACTGGTTGTCTGTCTGTCTGTCTGTCTGTCTGTGTTGTGCTTCTTCGACTCCACGGTGGAAAACAAACATCAGGTGGGATCGACACAAAGTCCCCAAGTGGAGATGGGTTTTTGACGTCGCATCACAAGTTGGGTGAGTACTCACAAACCTCGATCTAGAATTCGCTGTTTTACCCGTGCGCGCTATTAAAAGTAGAAACGGGGACTAGTTGCGCATGAGGTGCATGTTCCTCTGAAGTTATTCGCTCGTCCGAACGTGGAGCCCACAGTTCGCCCCCATCTATTTCGTTGCATTGGACACTGAGAATCCTTCTGATGCTTACAACCCGAGAATCAATGCCACAGCTGAGTGCACCCCAATGGTAACATACAGCACTGAAATCCAGTGTGTGATATCACGCGGTGAGACTCTTCAACGGTTTTTTGTTTTTTCACGTCTCCAAAGTCAAGTAGTAGACACAATTTTCTTTTTTAAACAAACCGTAGGCGAAGTTTGGGTCAAAGAATGATTGGAGGTGGGGGGTCCAAGTGGCACCTGAGGCTTCCGAACCAGCCAACCATAGCACTGGATCTCCGAAGAAGGTGACGGGAACGCTCATAAGGAACGACATAAGGAACGCTGAGGGGAACGGCATGGTGGGGAGTGGGGAGCTTCGGAGACGAGGACGCCGAAGCGACCGTCTCGTGCCCCCACGCATGGCCGTAGCTTTCATGGGCTCTTGAGACCCGCCCCGAATCGAGATCGCCATTCCTTCTTCGAGCATCGTCGCCATGGTGGCTCAGATCTGAGTTACTTTACACTGGCGCTGAGTTGGGTCCCGTTTTTGTTTTGCTTCTTCCTGCGAGCTTGAGGTGAGTGCTGCTGGAGCGCTGCGGGGTGCTGTTGTTTGAGGTTTTTTGCATTGACGGTGACTCATGGAAATTTGTAAGTTAGTTACCTCTTGGTTTGGTTTGTCACTCGGTGGCGTTCGAGGTAGTGCTTATCTGTCTCTCGCTGTTTTGCTCTCGCAGCCGCTACCTCTACCTCTTCCTATCTATCTCCCCTCCATACCCACACCTGGATTTACTCAGTTTCGTTGCTTTTGATGGAGGAGTTTGCTGGAAAATGTCGAGTCCTGGATTCGAGGTGGCAATATCGTTGAGGCCTGTCGTTTTTTTTGGGGGGGGGGGGGGGGGCACTGCATGTCACCGCTGCAGTTCGCATTTGAGTTCGTCTTGCGAGGTGGGGTGTGGGGGTGCGAACGTTGCTGGCCTCTTCCTGTGCCCCTCGGTATCTTTTTGGTGTTGTACTGGCATTTTGTGCAGAAGCGATTGCCTTGTCGTTTCTGCAAGGTTCTGGTGGGGGGTTTCCATGGTTTGAAGAATACATTGTTGTTTAGGTTAATTTCTAGGGATGGTGTGGTTTAGACTCTGCAGTTCTGGTGTAGGGTTGTACTTGTGCTTTCTGGAGGAAGCCTGAGCTGGGTCTTTGGAAATGCCGAGCCTTGAATCGCGGCTTCTCGGATGTGATCGAAATTTTTCTGAGTATCTCGTGGTAGTGTCTAGAGTGGTTTTATGTGCTGGCTTCTGCTGGGGTTTGTAGTTTGTGAATACGGCAGATCTGGAGGAGTAAAAAAGAGGGAATTCTCTACAATGAACATCCTTCCATTATTTGACAATGAGACGTCATTTATGTCTCCTAGAAACGCTTGAGCGAAGTGCTGCGAGAAGGCTTATAGAGTCTCGCCATCTTGTTCAGATTACGGGGAACCTCTTACAAATACCGGGGAATTTTAATTATACTGTGATAGATTACAATCCTTTTTAGTCAGTAGCCCTACGCTGATCTGCTGCGTTGCAATTGTTTTAATCAGGTAAAAAACGTGCGAGTGTTGTTCCAATGAATTTTACATTGACTTCTCAATAAAGGATTCAGTACAGTTCAACCGTCAACTCCGTTAACAGTGGCAGGTGAATTAGTTCAATACTAAATGTGTATCTTAGCATCAATGCTTGTTTCACTTAGATTCTATTTTCATAAAACCAACAGGATCTGTTGACCCAGTCCGCTATGTACTTGCTTGTTAGATCTCATCAAACTTTTTTATGTGGCGTGGTTTGAGAAATATAACTTTCAGTTGGATCCCAGAAAGGTGTTGATCACTGTGCAGGAAATTGTGCCTGAATTTGTGCAGGAAGGACATTGTAGAACCTAATGGCACTGCCGAGGAATTCCCGGCAGGGGTCGCAGGGCCCCTCAGTTACGCTTATCATCACGGGCTCGGCAGTGATTGGGTTCCTCTTGATTGCCGTCTGGGTTTTAAGTGCCCCAGCTGCCATTCCCGAGGGCGGAACGTCCCTCAACACGGACAACAGTAGGAAGCCCACAGAGGAGTTTGACACCACCCCAGAGACAACCTCCGAGACTACCCCAACAGAAGATGAAGCGGACGCTACCAAGTCTCCTGTAGTGGACGATTCCGAGCCTTCTTCGACGACTGAGACGGCGACCCCCACTGTGGATGAGCCCGAGCCGACCCCAACTGAGGAGAGGTCTGAGCCAACGCCACCCGTGGGGAAGTCTGAGCCAACCCCAACGGAGGTGAAGAAATCACTAGGGGCAGGCGATGGGAACCTTCCAGATGATATTACATCGGGCACTGAAGCTGAACTGACAACTGAGACTCAGGTGACGAACTCGACGAATTTCGGGACTCAGGTGGAGGAGTCGAAGGACGAGAAGACGTTACAAGAGGGAGGGGATAAGTCAGAATCCACCACCCCCGCAGAGTCGACTCCAGCTTTGAAAGAAACTGTGTCGGAAGATATTCCAGACTGGAAATTGTGTAACTTCGAAGGTGCTCAGGATTATATTCCTTGCCTTGACAACCAGAAGGCCATCAAACAACTTCCTACTACTGCGCATTATGAGCACAGGGAGCGTCATTGTCCATCTGAAGAAGAGCTTCCCAAATGTCTCCTCCCTCTGCCCTTAAACTACAAAGTTCCAATCAAGTGGCCCGAGAGCAGGGATGCGGTATAGGCGCTGTACAGAGATTCCCATGATTTATAAAAAATTGAGTTCGATTTTGATTTTTTGAAACAAAAGCTTAAGTTTGTGGAATTGGGGTTTTCCTTCAAGGGCCTTAATTTCTTCCCCCTCTTGTTATGTCATCCCTGCAGGTCTGGTTCAGCAATGTTCCACACACAGAACTGGCTTCATACAAATCCGATCAGAACTGGGTGAAGTTATCCGACAACAAACAGAAGCTTATATTCCCAGGTGGTGGTACTCAATTTAAGACAGAACATGGAGCAGCGCATTACATAGAATATATCCAGAAGGTACGGATGTTCACTTCACTTCTAGGTTTGAGGTGACTTTGACATTGTTGCATTGTTGTAAATTTCTTCTGTATGACCGATGTACCTGGAAAATCTCTTGTCTTTATTGTATGCAGTTAATCCCTGGTTTATATCTTGGGAATGCTAGGTAATCAGAACTGGTTTTTCGACAATTTTGACCCCCTTTTGTTACGCCAGATTGTCCCTGAAATATCCTGGGGAAAACACATCCGAACTCTTCTGGACGTTGGCTGTGGCGTTGCCAGCTTTGGAGGGTACTTGTTTGATAAGGACGTGCTCGCAATGTCATTGGCCCCAAAGGATGAACATGAAGCTCAGATCCAATTTGCATTGGAGAGAGGCATTCCGGCTATTAATAGTGTGATGGGCACCCAGCGCCTCGTCTTTCCCAGTCATGTGTACGATGTTGTACATTGTGCTAGGTGCCGTGTTCCTTGGGAGAAAGAAGGTAGGCATCGTCACCTGCAATGTCATATACCCCTATGACAAGCTAGGTCCCATGATATCGTACATTCAGTAGCCCAACTAAAAGCATGTGTTCAAGATTAAAAAAAAAAGTGTCGTCGCGCACCCATAGGGGCATTTTAATGGTGTAGAAAGTATAACATTACGTTGTGCATTGAATAAGACATCCTACTATTTTTCTGCAGATTGTATTACGAAATCTTGACTGCCCACCGAACTTTTTAGACTGCTAAACGGTACGTCGTATTCATTGCTGACTGAATTTGGTGACAGGTGGAATGCTTATGCTCGAGTTGAACCGCCTTTTAAGACCAGGAGGTTTCTTCGTGTGGTCTGCAACACCTGTATATTGGGATAATGAAGAAGATGTGCAAATCTGGAAGGGTACGATATTTTGGCATTTGTGTCCTTCTCGTTGTACATTATTGTGATTGGTATGTTATATCATTATTGATTACTTTTAATTTGAAGCTTATTTACTTCCACATTTTATTCCCCCTAATAAGCTACAAGGCGACGATTATGTTTTTTTTAACACAGAGTGGTAGTCTGCAGCAATTTCTTGACCCGATTGTGGTATGCTTCTGGTTGCAGATGTATCCGGTCTCCTTAAAAGAATGCAATGGAAGATGATAACAAGATCAATTGACCCAGACACCAAAGTTGGAGTTGCCATATTTCAGAAACCAACAGACAATGCCCTTTATGACTCTCGTGGGGATACAACTCCACCAATGTGTGCTGCTGCGGACAATCCAGATGCTGCTTGGTAATACTGTCATTTCTTTTCTAGCGTTGCAACGTTGGAAAATGAGAGTCTTCGTCCTTTTGAAGTTCTTTTTCAGCGTTGCCACATTCTGGGTTTGTAACAATTGTCAGTTTCTTCTCCAACGATCGACTAACATTCTTTGGGATATTTCGGCTGCAGGTATGTACCAATGAAGGCGTGCATGCACAGGATTCCCGTTGGAAAAGGCTCTCGAGCAGCTAGTTGGCCAGTAGAATGGCCGCTTCGTGTGGACGCTACACCAGCCTGGTTGAGTTCTACTGAAAAGGGAATCTTTGGAAAGCCACAAGTTGAGGACTTCGAAGCAGACGCTAAGCACTGGAAGCGTGTGGTGGAGAAATCATACATGAAAGGATTAGGCATTGACTGGAATTCTATTCGGAAGGTTATGGATATGAAGGCTGGATATGGAGGGTAAGTGCGCGCTCCATTGTGGACGTACATTGGTAACAATCTGTATATTAATTTCATGCCTTATTTCTTACGGTCTCTTTATTTCAATTTTTTTCCTTGCCCAGGCTTAAAAAGTCGCCTTAGTTCAAAATACTGGAAGGTATCTACTCTCAGTAGTCGGGAATGGTTGACAAGGAACTTGTCTTATTTTCGAATTCTGTAATGTCAACTACTGTAGAGACAGCAGTGCTCAAGTTTAGCTTCCGATTTCACCCGTGTGAATATGCGTTGTTGATAATGCAGGTTTGCTGCGGCACTTGTTAGTTACCCACTGTGGGTAATGAACATCATCCCAATTACAGAGCCGGACACATTGCCCATCATATTCGACCGTGGATTGATAGGAATGTACCACGACTGGTGCGAGCCACACAGCACTTACCCTCGCTCATACGACCTGATGCACTCGGATCGCTTGCTGAGCTCACTCTCAGAGAGGTATATAAGTGAATCCTTTCTCTCAATAATTTTGTTTTATCTTCCCTTCTGCAAGTGTCAAATGTTTTAAATGCCCCGAAACTTTCTAAGAACTTCAAACGTGTGAATCTTGTAGATGCAAGACTGTGAACATACTTATGGAGATGGATCGTATCTTGAGGCCAGATGGATGGGCCATTTTCCGTGACACTGCCGAGATCATGACCAAAGTAGAAGCAATCGTAAAGTCGTTGCATTGGGATATTGTCCTCAATTCTTCAGAGGAAGGTTCCACACTCTTGGTTGCACAGAAGAAGTTCTGGCGGCCTGAGTCTACTCTGTAATTGCCCATGAGATGCGAAATCTGTCAATCACTAAATTTGAAATCTGCCGGACATTGTTAACGTAGTTTTCGTTTGCTTGTTGTACTCAGGCTGGTTGACAATTCAACTGCAACATACTTTATCATGTGGTAGTTCGATTTCGGTAGTGAAGCGGTTGGAAATAGGCATGAGGTGAGACAATGAGCGAGTTAATTGATCGACCGTAGTTGGAAACAAAGAGATAGACAATGTTATTTGACTTGTAGATACACTTCATGCATCTGCATGATGAATATGGTGTTGCACCTGGTGCAATTGTAGGTGCTATTGCGGATTTTAAGCGTTTTTTTTATTTTTTTAATTGCCTTACATTCTTTCTCTTTATCTTCTGTTCTGTTGAGCGAATTTGGTTTTGTTCCATACCTTGGTTCCTTGTGAGCTCTTTCAATGTTGACATCCATCTTTATCAATGTTCATTACCGCAACTTGAGAAATCACGCAAGACCAATATAGTACTTAATCTTCTGCAATGCGTCCAAAACCACTCATTGAAGGTCGCTCAGTCGCGTAGTTTGGGGTGGCTGTACTCGAATCCTTTCTATTGAGTAGAAACGGCATTTTCCGACCCAGATGATGGATTTGGTTGTGGGAGACCTCAGAGAATGCTCCAACGTGTACACCATCTACTTGATTTCTGTGCATCTTAAGGAATCCTTTGCCTCGACTTCATTCCTTCTAATCGGTTTTCAACAAAGTCGTCATCTCCAATCAGTTGCTCGCATGTTACGAAGATGCGAGTAGCCACAACTCCCCAACTTCGGTGGCTAGAAGCAACTACTCCGAATCTGCCAATGAAATTCGTTGTCTGATGCAGTCAGTACCCTTATCGGACCCAATTCTCACTGTCGGTGCCGAGTTCTTCCAGACGTGTGACAGCAAGTAGGCTCCACGAGTCATCATCATCTGCACTTCTCCGCACTAAACGATCTATCAGGTGGGCATTCGTGACCGAAGATAACTCGATTTTCATCCTGAATTCATATACGTATAGTGATTATTGGTGTTTGTAATGTCTATGCGATGACCAAATAATTGTGGAGTTCAAAGAAGATCGACCACAAGTTGTGATTATTCGACTTACTTTGGGAAGTATGATAGATAATATATAAAACCAATAAAATTGGTGAAATAAAATTTTGTCGCCGGGAAAATATCTTAAATCTGAAGTTCATTGACATAGCTTAAGATGCCAACCGGATTCTAACAACTGCAGCTGAAATCTATTGTTTCATGCGTGAAATAAAAAATCATTTACTTTGCAAGAAGGTTGTTTATGTTACACAATCTATGCCCAAGAATTATAAATTATGACATAGTGATTGTTGACAGTAATATACCACATTTGTGTGCAGCTGTTATTGTGTGCTATTTATGATGAATGTATTGTGTGGCATTGGCCTATCTAGAGAATTCTTAGTTGTGCGGCATGTTTTAACTACATGGCCTTTCCAGATACTAGAAGGGTGAAGTATGAACCGTAGACACAGATCGACGTGACCGAACTCGATCGGAGTTGAAGATGTAGCAAATCATGAAGGTTTTTCTTTTTTTTGCTTTTTTCTTTCTCTATCGCTAAAAGCCTAGTAGAGGAATCGGTACTCCTCGACAGCCAACACATCTGACCACAACATCGCAGGGTTTCCTCCACTCTCCTCTTCTGTCAGCAATTATGTACCAGAGTTAAAGCTTCCTTTGGTGGGGGACTCTTGCCACTCGACTGCGGTCAACTAAACAAGTAGATCTGAAACCACCTAAATCGTCTGAAATCACAACAGTATTTCCACCCTCAGGAAGTAAAGGAGGTTCAATGTAAGAAAGTAGAATACAAACTCGGTAAAAAGAATTCCATGCTTATCAAGCTTGACCCGGAATTCCACAATGCCAATATATCGTGATGAATGAGATGCGGTATGTGTTCACTTACACAAGCAAGGCATCCATACCTTTAGCCCCCGCTGATGTTCCTCATTCGTCCATTCTTTTACGTCCTGTGAAAAAATCGAAACTACCAACTTACTCAGCTATTTGAATCGCAAATATGTGGTTAAAGGTAGGACTTAACTTGTAAAATCATTTCCAGGACGAACTCCTGGCAGTAATATTATTGAACCGCTAAAAGTACTAGCCAAAACATCTTCTCAAACCGTTCAATGGTACTGTTAGCATTGGCAAACTCTTCTACAGAGCAAACCTGCGACTGCAGACTGTTAATTTCTGCGGAGATCAATTTGGTCCTCAGAATCCTTGTGAAGCAGCAGATGAAGATTACATCGACGTCGGAATGGCTTGAGAACGATGTTGTAGTGGCGTCATGGACAGACAGCAATGGGGGTCTGAGGAGACAGTGGGGGTGCCTTACAAATCGTCGATGCCTCCGAGTAGACCATTTATTTTAGCGACAGGCTGGGGTCAAGGCTGGAGTTGGAGTTCGTTGACAGTTATAATTGATACGTTCAAGAACAGTACAAGGCTAAGCAATTTCTATGACCAGCAATAAAACACTGCAATAAGTATCTGAGATGCAGTGTCACTCATTAAGCAAAAATAGCTCGAGAGTTTAGCAAAAGGTAACACCACTACAAGCTCCGGGCTAACTGTTGATTAAGGTCCAAGATTAGAGTCTTATACAAAAGTTTTACCTCAATGGGTAGATACCTAGTCAAGGGTTATGTTCCTGTACCTCCTATTGATATCTAGGTTCTTTGTGTTTTGTCCGAGGGGGCAAATTGTCCAATATCCCTCCCTTGCCTCCTAGGTTTCTAACTTTAAATCTACGGTAGAGTTTTTATTTCTTTGCAAGAGTTTCTTCTCTTGAATTGCTTCCTATTCACAAGGAATCCATGATGTGATGTAATGGTGTAAGGATTGGATTGTCGCCATAGCTTGCAGGTAATTTTATTGTCATCCTTCATGATTCAAGTTGTTTTTTTGTTTTGGTTCTCTTTTGATAATGAGTTGCTTGGACATTTTCAGATTTTGTCCTTCTTTGTTGTCATTTGGGGGCTTCTTTCTTTCACAGCAAGTGTTTGCAAGTGGTTTTTGAAGCTATTAGAAAATTGGTTGTTTTTTTTGATCCAATCGAAGTTTGTGGTTAGAGTGAAGTTGGAGTGGATTCTACTTTGGATCATACTACCAATGTTTTGATTCCTTCTCATTTTTGGAGTTCAATGTTTTCTTCTTAATATACTTCTAGTACCACTCAATTACTTGAAGAAGATTTGATGCCTTGTAAGTATTACGTAATAAAATATGGATTTTACCTTAGAGTCTACAATTCTTAGGTAGCATGCAAAGTTGAGGTTAAAGGATTTAAGGGGGCAAAATTCAAAGCCTTTTGAAATAGGTCGGAGATAGAGAAATATGTTTTGGAGTAGATATATAGATTTTTTAAAATTTTTATTTTATTTTTTTAATATTATTTTTTACTATCAAGTTAGGTTAAGTGTGGTCGTTACATTCAATCTTTCTCTGAATTTTTTAAATAGTGATAATCCTAGCAGCTTTGTAAAAATATTTGCTACTTATTCTATGGTTGGTACATATTGAAGATTGATTTTCTCTCATTGGATTTTTTTTCAAGTAAAATGATAATGTGCTATAATATGTCTTGTTTGTAGATTGACTCCTAGATTTGTTATAAAGCTTATGCTTTTAGTGTTGTTATAATGTATGATAATTGAATGTCTTATTTGGACTTACAAAACTTTTAATAGTATTGATAACCATGTGGCTTCTCTAAAAACATCTACAAGTCCTTTGTACCTTGCTTCAAAAGATGATAGAGCTATGGTTGGTTGTTTTTTTGATGACCATGAAATAAGTCTATTACCAAAGGTAAAAAAAATCCAATTGTTAATTGTACTTGTTCTAAGTCTCCTCTTTAGTCAAAATCTACATATTATGATAAATAAGATTGATTGTTATTTCTATATAATATGCCATAATCTTGAGTATACTTGATATAGCATAAAATTCTTTTTGATATAAGTAGGTGTGATTTTTGAGGTCTTGCCATGAACCTACTAATAATTCCTATGGCAAATTGAATGTCAGGTTGATTATGGATTAAGCATAGACATTTACCTACAATATTACAATATTGGATGGAGTCCACTTCTTTTTTGCTCATATCAGCTTTGAGCTTTAATTTTTCATCTATTATGGTTATTGCAAGTTCACAATTTTTCATACCAAAAGTAAGTAGTATATTTTGTGTATAGGCCTTTTGTGTCATTAAAATCCCTTCTTTTATTTGAATGCATTCAACTTTCATATGGAGTGAAACTTTGCCTCTTGATAGCATAGACATTTCAAATTGGTCATATAATTCTCTTTTGAATTGTGTCATATTTTTTGTGCAACTATCTATTATAAAAAGATTATCAACATATAATGAGATGAAGATTTTATCTTTTGATCTTAAATATAAATTATGATCACATGTAACTAGTCAAAAATTAGCTTCTTTTAATATGAATCTATCCTTTCATACTGAGGTGCTTATTTAAACCTATACAATGCCTTTCCCAATTTGCAAACCATGTGCTCTTCACTATGTATTTCAAATTCCTAAAGCATTGTAACATATACCTCTTCTTTTAGATCTCCATGAAGAAAGGCAATTTTGACATCCATATAATATAATTTCCAATTTTTTTGAACTGCAATAAAGATCATTGTTCTAATTGTTATCCATTTTACTACTAGTGCAAAGGTTTTTTTTTTAGTCAATTCCTTCTTTTTGTTCAAAATCTCTTGTGACTAATATTACCTTGTATTTTTGAAGTGGTTTATTTATGTTCGATTTGATTTAATAGATCTATTTGGTAGATATAGCAAATTTACTTGGAAGTAGATTTGTAATAGTCCAAGTTCCATTTTTGTATATAAAATTCATTTTGTGTTCCATAGCTTGTTTCCATCTTTGATGATTTGTTGCTTTATAATAAATTCTTGGTTCTAAGTTGGACTTAGTCATTATTCCAATAGAATGATCTCTTATCCATCTTAGTGTTTTTATTTGTTGACATGCTTGTGTAATTATTGATAATGGAAAATTTTGATTGGTTTCCAAATTTGAAGAATATATTTGTTTAACCAATAAAACATCATTTTGAGTTTTAATGCTAAATCATTTATTAACTTCTATTCTTAGGATATAGCTCAAAATAGATGTATTATTTTTTCCTTTGTTATATTGATATAGATAATGATTCACTATAAAGATAGTCTAGTTTCTTGTTGGTGGTGTCTATTGTCTCATGTTGGATAATGATTTTATAGATAGGAGAAGATTTAGTATAAATATGACTAGAGGGAAGGTGTAACCTTTTCCGTTCACAGAATCCTTACAAACGTTACATACTTTACCAAAAGGTTTTTGAAAATTTTGTGTACCACCACAATATCAAAGGGCATCTCATCAATCTCTCTCAGATCGTTTAACAGATCGCAAACATGGTGCATAAATGTGGGTACCGACATGTCCTCTGACATTTTAGGATTCTCCCACCTATCTAGAATTTTCATCACATTTGGAATAGTCTGTGTGGAATACACTTTTGCTAAGATCTCCCAAGCTATTGCAGGATCAAAAGCATTTAAGATATAAGGTTTTACTATTTTTGTTATTGAAAGATAGAAAAATTCTGTCGCTCGTGTTTTTCGCCTGCGGAGTTTCTTTTACTCCTATGGTGTTGGTTGTGCAATCTTCGAGTTTTGGCTTCCAATACCTTCAGTTCCTCCTTTGCTCATTTCTTCCTCTTTGATTTCCATTGTTGATGCAGTCCCACTGCTTGATGATGTTGTCTCTGCGTGCGGTTTCTTCAGTGAGCTCTTAGTTGGTACTACCGTGTCCCACAAATCCTCTCTTTCGTGTACGCTCTGTATCGTACTTTTCCACGCCTTGTAATTTTCTGGTCCTACCAGCATTTTAAAATGTGCAATGATAGAGTACATAGTGCCCATGTCACAACTCTCGTGACTTGATGTTTCTAACTCACATTTTCCTGCTCTGATACCATGATACATTCAACAACAATAAAAGGCTAAGCAATTTCTATGACCAAAAATAAAGCACTGCAATAAGTATCTGAGATGCACAGTGTCATTCATTAAGCAAACGTCACACTCAAGCAAAAACAACTCAAGAGATTAGCAAAAGGTAACACCACCATAGGCGCCAAACTAACTGTCAATTAAGGTCCAAGATTAGAGTCTTATACAAAAGTTTTACCCCAATGGGTAGATACCTAGTCAAGGGTTATGTTCCTGTACCTCCTATTGATATCTAAGTTCTTTATGTTCCTACCGAGGGGGGCGTATCGTCCAACAATAATAGTACCTCATCACTCATCTTTCTCCCTCCAGGATTCACTGCCAGAGTGATCATAGAATTGCAGAACAGGGGATAAGTTGAAAAAAAAAATGACCAGCAATCGAGCAATGTGGACCTTCAGCATGACATGAGGTAATAGATTTGTTATCAAAGCACTTCATTACAGATGCCGTCCTACTTTCATGACTTTATCGCCATCGTCACTATCATATCTGAGGTCCATCTGCGTCAAACGTAGAATTCCGGCCAACTTTTCGTATTCCTCTCGTCCTGTTCACACCGTCTAACTTCGCACAGAGAATGGCACTTCAACCTGCACTCTTAGTGAATTCAAACACTCCGAGTATAACTTAAAACGAAACTCTACATCTCCCCAGACACATTCATGTAAGCACCTCAATTTGACGTCAACGTGAATGAACCAAAATCTCGACAAAGAACCGAGGCAAATAGCCTCATACTCAACATGCAATCCCAATCCTCCCAGATTCAAAATCTTCTGACAATTTATTGTTGGCGAATCACACCAGTTTCGTGAAACCTTTACAACAAAAAAAACGCAACTCTCTCCGAACGTCTCAAACTTCACAGCTCATTCGACATCAGCCACAAAAATGCCAGCAAAATGAAATTCTGCGAAGAAAAAAATTTGGCCGTTGTCATGGACGCATTACTGGCACACCACGATCCTCCACGACATGCTGGTTCTGTTTATTTCGACGCGATTCTGTGGCAGTTGGTCTTCACTTGACAATTTGCTCCAGTAAGGCAAGCAAAAAAAAGCCTCGGAGATCAATACGAAGGATTCATTTTCTCTGTATTGCGTAGCCTCTACCCTTTTGACGCCGAGAGCAAGGTTGAGAGCTGCATCAACCTTACCCTACACGACCCGGGTATAAGAGAATTGATACCCAGAGATCAGGGTTTTTCGTTTTAGGGTTTAGTGCTCCTCTTCACAAAGCAAGACCTCTAGTCCTGCGATGCGATCTGTGTGCGCGACGAGCGAAGCACGATTAATTGGAATATGAGAAATTGAGTCGTTGAGTACGTAGTTATAAGACTTTCTTCGGTTGAGCGTTGACGGAGGAGGAGGAGTTAAGAGTAGTTGAGTGTCGAGAGGCTTGATTTCAATAGAAAATTGGCATGGAGGAGGAGGATGTTCAAGCTGAGCCTGGAAATACAGGGCATCACATCACCAAGCGGTACCGCAAGAACAAGTTTGCAGTTGCGGTATTTGATGAGAAAGCTCGCCAGTACGTAGCCCCTCCCTCTTGCGCTGTCTCTGTCGTTTGAACTTTAATTCTGGGTGAACAGCGGTCTCGAATGAAGAATGCTTTGTGACAGAAGTAGGTCGAAGTTTCAGGAACGAATTAGAGGTTTTGTTTTTGCTGCATTGGGGAAGTACAGCATGCTGTTGAGTGGAGTACGTTTTTGGACTGTGAAATTGCTCAGGCTATAGTGTTGTTGTGAGTAGGGACTACCTGACTGGGTTCCGTAAGAGGAAGAACAAGAGGCGGAAAGTAGCAGCTCAGCAGAATGAAATAAAGGAAAGGCAGCGGCGGCTTCAGGAGAGGAAAGAAGTAAGTTCGTTTTGTGTACTAGTTTATAGTTTGTAAAATAGAACTTAAATTTTAATTCTGCGTTTTTTGGAGTCATTTTGGTTTCTTAATCATATGCTTAAGAATTGGTTGAAATACATAATTGCATAATTCGACATGTTGTATATGTCTTAGACTGAGTGATATCTTGCATTACAGATGAGAGAAGCAAAGAAAGCGGCTTTATTAGAGCAGAAGCCAAATCCAGATGGAAATGCCGAAGAGGGGAATGAAACGGAAGCCGAAGAATCTGAGATTGCAGAAAATGGAACCATAAGAATTGCTGGTGTGTTCGCTGTCATTCCTGTATTTGTCTGGAAGCCTTAGGGCTGTCGTCATGTTGGCTACCCTTCTAGTTCATGATCCCTGTCTTTTTTATCATCGCACATACGTCTCTTAGTTTGGTGACATTTGTTGGTCTTTGTCCAGGGTTCCGTGGTAGTAGTAAGCATTAGATCTACCAACTTTATTTGAAATCTCTCTCTATATAAATTTAGTGATTAGGTACGCCGAATGTTTTCCTATTTGCGCAAGTAATTTTGGAGGCGTCATGGTAGTCTACATAATCTTATTTGCAAGATTTTTCATGCAAATCGTTTTCTATAAGCTAAAAAAGTTGGTATTGGTTTAATATTGCAGAGACAACCACGTATGACGATGGGGATTCGACCATAGTGGTGACGACTTGTAGCTTAGATCCTGAGGATGATCTTGAGAAACTTGAGGTTACACGGAAATCCACCCAAAAGCCTAAGACCTTATTAGGTAAGAGAGCGTCTGTGCCACTAGGCGCTACTCAGCCGAAGAAGGCGAAGTCAGTGAATAAACCTAAAAAGGTTTTATCCGAAAAACGAACAAAGAAGCTTACTAGGCGAGAGAAGTCAGTGCCGAAGAATCAGAGAGCAAAGAAGGGTGGAAAAAGGAAAAAGAAGTAATTGGCTTTAATTTACATATAGCATGCAAACACACTCGTGCTTTCAAGAGAAAGGTTTCAAGTATTATTTGGCACAGATTATAACGGAATATCTTCTTCCTAGGTCAATTAGTTTGCTGCTAGAACATTTTTGAGTGTTGACATTAATGTATTATGTTCCATATGATATGTACTTTGTAATTGGAGATCAAGTTCTAATAATTTGCACCACTTATATTTGGATCTGAATGGCTGACGGCAACACTATGGGGAATTGAGGCTCTGTGGTAGCACTAACTGGCAAACTATCTTACCTACAATTCTTAATGCTCCTTAAGACTACTTGATTTTAGTACAACCTTCATGCATATCCACAATGATGCGCAGGAACTTGATACTTCTACAGTTTGTTCGCAACCCATCGCATTCATGAACTCCAACCATCTGTACTTGATGTGTTGGTTATCTCCCATTACACTGTAGGGAAAAGCATTGCCATCATCAATCATGATACTCTATGTCAATTACACATATTGATTTGAGTAGAGAAGCATTGAGATAAAATAGCATTTGTTGGTCAATTGATTGTTTACAAAATTACTTGCTACTCGGTGTGTACGAATTGAAATTAGTCTTTTCGGGATCTTCGGATTAAAGTACACTCCTGAACTTAGAAGAGTTAAAAAAACAATAATAAGATTTCCACTGTTCATTGTGAATAATAATTCTAGAGTCAAGAAACTACAGAGGTTCTGCAGAAATCCAAAATTTTGGAATTCAGACTCCTTTAATCATGTCATATTAATTGCGCAACTTCTAGATTAGTAGTTTGATACGTTGGATCAAAAGTATAACTCATTCATATAAGATATTTCGAGAATTCAAATCCTCTCACGTAGGACCCAAGGTGTAGTGAGTACTTTCTTGTAGAGTTACTCCACAAGATTTTGCAACAAAATTTAACTGAAGATTCAGTCTCCCGTATTGTGTTGTGAAACTTGGAAAATAAGATATTAAGGCAGAACAAGAGGTTGAGGTCGAACCAATCAAAACCCTCAGCTTTCCAGAGTACGGGCAACTAACTTACAGATAATTTTTTGTCACCAACTGTCACGACAGACCATACGTCCACATTATACTCCAGTTTTATACCCTCAAATAACAGGCATCTCAAGTTCATTGTCGTCTGACCTTCGAACACCCTAAATTTTTTACATAAAAACCAATTAAAGGGTTATCAAACAGATGACACATGTTACACTGCACAATGCCAGGAACTGAGTCGCCTACATTAAGAAAAACAGCAAGGAATAGATACTTCTATTAAGTAACTACAAAGGCTGGAAAAGACCCTTCTACTTTAGCGCCAACATTATGAACTTGACAATTAAAAAAAAACACAACACACCAACTCTTACCACTATCTTACCTTTAAATCTTCTTCTCTGCTTCAGCTGATTACTACACGTCTGGTTGGACTTCACCTACAGAGGATGATGATACAGAACTTTTGATTTCAGTTGCATGTGCTCTTCATTAGGAAAGAAATGCTCTTAGGTTTTATCAATATCGCCTGCCGCCTGCGGTGGAAAGTAAAACCATGGAACCTTTCTTATTCTTTTTGCTATTCTTCCCTACTGAACCATTACCCTCTTCGGCAGTTGGTTTTGCAGGGGCCTGTGCTTTAATTTTGTCTGCAAATGACAAACTAGATGATCCATGACCACCTGCCTCCCCTTTAGAGAGGCTTGAGCTTGAGGATGCTGCAGATGAGCCCCACGGAGTAGAAAGAACCGACTCTAAAGGAACAAGTTGCGGCGCGTCGTAGCCAGAGGCAAATCCCATTTTTGCGACATTGGAAAACAACGATCGGCTGTCACTTGGTGGACTTGCGGTTACAACCGTTGGTTCACCAAGATCGAAGCCACTGCTCACAGGCTCTTCAATCTGCAAAGATCCCATGTATGCTGCAAAGTCAGCAGGAGTCGGAGCCCTTGGTTGTGATGCCGTGAAAGCTGCCAGACGCTCCTCTCTAGCCCTCTCGTTCTTTTCCAGCTTAATGGCTCGACGACGTCTCTGCTGACGAACGCGAATCTCTTCTGAGAAAGGGGAGAACGCCTCAGGAGGTAGCATCCCATTCAAATCCACCTCGCATAATTGAAAGTTGGCCGTTAATGGCAGGTGACTAAGATAGCGATATCGCTTCCGAGTTCCCTCCGTCTGTGTTACAGGTTCCAATTCTACAATATCTGCCTCTATACTCGAAGGCAAAGACTCATAGTCTCCATAATGTTGAAGCAAAACTTTCATGTTGAGGGGATGTAGGATCAAGAATTGCCCATCTGCAGACTGATAAAATGTGTACGTATCCGACTCTTCTTGGTCTCGTTTTACATCCTTATGTTTCTTATCAACATCGGAGACAACTGCCACGGGATCCGTAATTTCTGGAGACTCCACAACAATATCCTCCCAATCTGGCTGCACGCCTGAATCACCGTCCATCTCTACAGCAACGTATTCTTCTAGTACTGAAACAGCTTTCTCAGACTCTGGCTCTTTTCCTTTTGAGATAACTATATCTGCATCATCTGCAAAAGCACTCTCATAAACCCATCCAGCTTCCTCTTTCAACTTGCTCATAGCAGCTTCAGTTTCAGCTACTAAGTCAACCCCCTTATTCCCACCTGGATACCGTTTCGACAATACATCCTTTACTATATCGACATTCACTGAAACAGATCCCACAACTCCTACCCTATTTCCACCACCATCCGTACCGTTCAGTGAATGGACTGAATTGCCTTCAAGAGACTTAGAGAGCCCCGCCTTTGGCTGCGAAAGAATACGCTGTCGCACTGGATGACTGCTGGATAAAAAGTCCAGATTACGGTGTTCTATCCAAGCTTGCTTCCGTTCATGGAGCTGATCTATAGCTCCAAATACGAATGGGACCACGCCTAGATCTTCACCACCCTGTACCTCAGCACGTCTAGCCCACTCGGTAAGCTCCGCTACAGCCTTGTCGGTAATACTCTCAGCTTCAGAAGTAAGGGTAAACTTTGAAAACAGATGAAATTCGCCTTCATCACTGTATGCCAGAGCACCTAAAGAGCCTTTGTTTTTCTCGAAAGGGGTTATAGAATTCTTAGCACGGGTGAGCAGGTTGAACCTTATAGAATTCCCCGAACTATAATGCCGCACTGAACTGATGATCACAGTGCGCATTTCCTTCACAGAGATCATGGCGAAGCAAAGAGGGCACTTTTTCCAAGGGTCCCTGAGCTGATCTCCCAGCATCATGTAATGTAAGATGCAGGGGAAGCAGAATATGTGGCCACATGACGTGATCTGGGGACATAAGGGGGGAGTATCAAGACAAATGGGACACTGCACTGGAATTGGAGCTGTCACATTGACTGCAACAACATCTTCCCACTGCAACATCTTGTCAGGATCACTTGCATTGAGAGAATAGTCGGCCAAATCAGAAACCAAAAATCTGAAGTTCGCCTGCAGAAACAACTCCTTGTTGTAAGGTTGTATCCGCTTTTGCCGTCGAGGAGGAGGCTGGTGGTGGGATCGTGGGGGGGGCCTTTGGATAGGGTCATATTGAAAATTCAAAAGATGATTGGCAGCCCTCAAAGTTTGGCTCTTTTTACTGCCAGGGGGAGTGGTGCCTGCGTTGCCACTGTGCTGCCAAGACTTTCCTGATCCATTTCTGGCTGGAGAAGTGATTGACTTGGAAGATGGACGTGGCTTTCCATTAACGTTTATGGGCCTACTCACACTTGCATGAACTGTTTCATGACGACCCTTTCGCCCTGGTTCTGGTCCCGATCCAGACCCCGATCCAGAATTGAGGCTGTTTCCAGAAAACATGTCTTGGTCAATTGGCTCTCCGACATGGAAAAATGAATCCGAGGCTGCAGGAATTGGCACAAACTCTTTGGCATATGGGTTGAGCTTTGGAATTTGTTCCTTCGCAACATCAGTTTCATTGTCTTTACTCCCATGAAAGTGGCCACTGCCTCCTGCAGCTCCATGTCGCAAGGACGTGTCTCTGAATTGTTCTCGTGGCGCAGACGATGGTGCTACAGAGGCAGACGAGCTGGACATGAAAACTTGAAAAGTACCTGGGGCCGTCGAGGTGCGCTCCTCCACCACTACCCCACGACTGCTGACGTACAACTTGATTTCGAGCCCCTACAAATAAAGACCAACTCCAACAAAGCCCTGAAACATTACAGAGTACAACTATTTCCCGTCACAAAAATGAAGCAAAATTCACGGTAAGTGGAATTATCAGAGTTGTGATCAGGCTAAACTTAAGAGCTCCTCTCAAAGGATGCCAGCGGACTTTCAAATATCAGAAGCAACCATTTTTTTCAATCCTAAGGAAGTAGGAGTAATGAAAAGAACAGAAACGCAATTGCATTGGAGGCCTGTCTATATTCAAAACATAATTGCTGATTTCGAAATGGATAGATAATACAACTACATAGCTCGATCGTCCATGAGACTGCCAATAATTTCAATCCAACTAAAAAGTCAGACAATTTAAAGATAAATAAGTAATTTCAGCGATGAGATCAGTGACGTACATATTCGAGTGAGACTTCACTGGCTGTAGAAAGCAGGAGGAGAACATGAAAACAAGGGCTCTAAAAATAAAATAAACAATCATTCATCGAGACTAGTGGCCCTTCCCCGCAAAAGAGGATTATGACCACCTTTAATAATTCATGTAGCTTGTCATCCACTTAAAAGTGAATATGTGACGATACATTAACGACACACGAATATCCATCCCATGATCCAGTAAAGTAATATCACTGTGAGGCACTTCAAGATGAAACTTAAACCTAAGCGCAAACGTCTTAACCTGGTAGGAAATCCATGTATATATGTACACACACACACACACACACACACACATATATATATATATATATATATATATATATATATGCACACAAGGGATCGACAAACCTACTGGTCGCAACAAGTAACCAAAGTGCATCAAGTCAATATGTCATTGCGCCAATTTTCTGATAAAAATTTCAAGCTCTGTGAAAATCACCAAAAACGGCAGAAAAATCACACAAGAACTCCTCCTGTACTGATTCCACGAACCCAGTTCCAGAACTGTGGAAAAATTTCAGGACCTTGAGTAAAGATGAACACTCACGTTTTTTTCAGCCGCAATCAAACCTCTGAAGCACCCACTATGACCTCCTTCATGAACGCGCCACCGCAGACCTCACCAATCGCGACCAACCAAACCCTCTATAACCACTACCAGAACCCTAGGAAACGCAAACCCGCGCGCTACCTTCTCTCCCCCTCCCCCCGATACCCTCAATCCTCAAAAAACCAAAAAAACGCGTCCTCAAGCCACAATCCTTTACCCCCGACTCAGACTCTCCCTTCACTCGATCCATCCCTAGCCCCTGCTCTACCAACCTGCCCCGTTAAAACCTCCTCTTCCTCCTTCCCTCTTAACACCAACACCAACACCAACATTCACACCAACCTTTCAAATCCCACTCGCGCCTAACCATGCAATAATCCAACCACAATTCCAAACCCCAAAACCAAAACCAGATACATCCAAATCCCACCACCACCAAGGCCGCGAAAGCGTAATGTCAATGAAGCCGAAGAGACGCCATATCCCGGGGCATGACCGAAGAAAACGATTGAAGACAAACACAAGTGATCAGGAGGAGGAAACACTGACGTGCATGTGTCCGCTCCGTCAGTCCGTCCGCTCCGGTCCGCTCTGTTCAAGGGTGGTGTGAAGGCTAACAGCAAGGGGGATGCAAATTGGTGATGAGCATGGGGCAGCACTTGGAAATCTGTATCGCCGAAGCTCGGGGACGGAACACGGAGCACGAAGAGGAAGATGCGCTCCGAAGGTTCTTTGAGGCCCCATGCCCGCTCAGTCCCTTTTCACACTGGGAGGCTGCCTCGGATTGGCTCCCTCCCTCGTTCCCTCGCCTGCCCCTCTCTCGGAACGGATCGGATCAGCTTGCGAAACTTGTACCTCTTGTACTGGCTGCCGCTGGCTCCCCTGCTCTGTCCACGTTTGCGTCACCGCCAGGCCGCGCGTTTGCGTCATCCTGCCGCACGTCGGCGACAACATTCTCCTCCTCCTCGGACTTTGCTTCCCCCGCGTGTATATATATAGGAGAATATATATAGGAGAATGATAAATAGACCCAGATTTTTATTAAATTGACCCATCCAAGGTGAGAAAAAAAAAAAAAAAAAAAAAAAAAAAACTTCTAGATTCATTTCTCCACTATCAGATCCAAAACCAAATGAAAACCAACCACATTCATCATGATTACCATATTCTTCATCATAGGTAGACTGATTCAATAAAAACTTGGATCTATTTCACATTCTCCTATGTATGTATGTATCTATATATATGTATATATATTGTCAATGCCAACACAATTTTTTCCTAGTGTTCATGCCCATCGACCACATGCCCCCTTTATTTAATCACATGATATTGTATCTTCTAATATTGTATTGCAATAGATACAAGTGTTATGCAACAAATTGTTTTTCATATTGTTCTCAAAAGATATTCACCTTTGGATACACAAAACTGTAGTTGACACTTTTGGATATAGTTGTGTATTGCATGTGGGTTGAAAGATACTATCTTGCAAAAGGCATAAATTTTGCCAAGCAAATTGTGGAGTAGTTATGAAAGATAGGGAAAATCAATCTTGCTTATATATATATATATATATATATAACCTTAATACATTTTATCTTATTATGTTTTAGTTTTTTACTTGGAATTAAGAAATATTTGTAAACATGATTTTATTTGACTTTTTTATTTGTTTTTAATTTTATGTTTAATCTAATTATAAACATCATTTAAAATTTTATATATATATATATATATATATATATATATATAAATACATAGCATTGAATGTGGGTATGTATGTTTGCATATAAATAATTTTTGGAACATTTAAAAAATATATTTAATAAAGTGAAATAAATCAAAAACAATCAAATGGATTTGAACAAAATCATTGTAATATACTAGCATCGTTTTTTTCTTTTGCTCATTATATATTAAATAGTGTAAACTTCATTGCAGCAAACTTGTTGTCACATTTAAAATTTTGAACCTCCTTGTAGCAATAGATACACGTTATTCCAGACTTCTAGCCATTTTTACCAAGAAATTTTCTATTAAATATTAATATTGTAATTTTTTATAATAAAAAATATGTCTTGTGTTATGCTTCTTTTTTTTTTAAATTATTTTTCAATGTTTTCACTTAGTTTCTATAACCATGTGTATGATGTAGCATTAAAATGTTTTCAAATATTGCATTAAAATGCATTAAAATGTTTTCAAATATTGTGGTGAGATCATCAATTGAGAGTTTAAAGACTTTTATTTGAACTAAAAATACTACAATTTTAAAGCTTAGAGATGTGTGATATATTTTTGTATATTCAGTTCCTTGACAATCCAAAAGAATGAGACCAATCCAATGCCATCTCTTTGTTTGATCCATTCTATATCATGTTCATATGCCATGTTAGGAAATATTTATTAATCTCTTTTAATCTTGTATTATAGAAATTTGTTACTTTATTATTTATTTAATTTCCTTAATACTATAAGATCTACTATAGCATATATATTATTGTACTTAAAGCTTAAAATGAATATTATTTGAGAGCTTTAATACAAAAATCATTATTTTATTATTATTAATTATCTAAAAATAGTTTAAAAGAGTAGTAAAAACATTCATTAAAAATATTCAATTAAATATTCTATATTTATTATAAATTATCAAATAAAAATAAATTTTATAGCATTTATAATTACATAAATAATAAAATAATTAAATTCATAAATATATAAATAATTTTGCATCTTTAATTGCATCTTCTTGTTTGATACTATCTCCAAAAATAAAGACTTATAAGAAAAATAAAAATAAAATTTCTTCTTCAAATAAGAACCTTTGTAAGATTATTATATCATGGCCTTTGAAAGTGAACCTCACAACTCCTTCAAATCTCGAGGTAATAAATAAAAAAAATCCTTATCTACTTTTATCAAATTATTGATTTAATTAACAACACAATTAAAAATAACGTGGTGATGAAGACCGCATGGGTTCCTTGTTGCCAACAAGTGCCGCGCCATCGTGGATTCGTCCAGCCTGGCGGGAGAAAAGAAAAGTAACGCCCAGTTTAAAGTGAAAGGTTGGAAACAGACGAGAGTCGAGAAAGGCAAAGGGCGTTCGTCCGAAAGCGGACGAGGAGTCCTGACGAAGGGGTTTCGTGGTCGGATGCGACGTCTCCGTCTGCCATCGTCGTCGTCGTCTTCCTCCTGGGCTTCGCATGCCTTCGCGCTTCTTCTGCGCCAACTCTGGTTGGGTACCCTTCGCAACAGACGAGAGTGAGCCCGATTTGCACACAAACCCATTCAATTCACGCACACATTCCGCAGGACGTCGACGGATGCCTCCGGATTAGTCCAACGGCGAATCGAGAGCGTGTGAGTTCTATCTGATAACTGACATCGTCCTTTGTCCTTTTAAATCTGCGCTCGATTTGGGGACCCCAAGCGGACGGGAAGATCTGCCGTTGGGTGTTTGTTGACAGTGTTGGAGATTCATTTACGAGGTGGGTTCATGATGACTGAAGCTGGAACTCACTTCGTCGGAATTGACGATTTGTAGTTTTTTGAAGAAGAGTGTTGGGTGGTTTGGGAGTTTGAAAAGACTGTTGTAGTGGGGTTTGTTGTCGTTGTTGTGGTGTCCGGGTCTTTCCGAGTCTTGCAGGTGCCATGGTGGATGAATAAACCCGTGGATTAGTTCTCAGTGTTTCTGGGTTTGGTTCTTGACTTCTTTCTCTGTGTTGAGAGTTTGAGAGGACACCGACAAGGTTTTACAGTTGTGGCAGAGTGATTTGCAGCTTGTAGAGATTTTGAGATGCTTTTAACCGAGTTCCGATCGCAAGTTGCGCTTGCTGGTTGCTAAACCCTCGTCAGATTTGGTCATGTGGTCGTTTTGATGATCTCATCGACCGCGTTAGTTTTGGAGGGGGGGGGGGGAGGGGAGGGTTTCTTGACCACAAGATTACGAAGAGTTTTTAATGCAATTTTTGAGCAATTTCATCTGTCTGTGCATTGGAGTTCACTTGGTTCACATGCAAAAGTGTTCAACGTTGAGTTGCTAACATTATAGCTTGCGCTGGTTTTGGGTCTGTGAATGTTGTGACAATTTGCTGTGCTAATAGCATCAATAGCAGTAATAACAGTTGTAAGAAGAAGCTTGCCAAGTTACAAAGCTTGGGTTTCGTTTTACTACAATTTTAGTGGTTCCTTCTGCTAGGTTTAAACCAGTTTGCAACCTCGTGTACTTCACGATATCGATCTTTCTAAATGTTCTAGGAATGCTAACTTGCCATATCGCTGTGTTTCCTCTCTGCTATTATATGCAGTGCGTTGAAACTTTTAATCGCATCGTAAGGCAGAATTGATTGAACGTTTGTTTGTGTAATTGTTCCCATTACATTGACAGTGTCTGTGCCTTTTCAGTTAATTTAAACCATGTAATGACGCTGGAATCAGTTAGAAAGCCGTACAAGAGGAGGATCGAGTGAAGAAAATTCTGTTGGTTGATGTTCAAAGAACGCGGGAGGGTTCCATATTGAGGCTCGCCCTGATACTAGTACTTAAGGCGCATGGGAAAACAAGGGCCTTGTAGCCATTGTGGCATTGCCAGTATGTCCTCTCTGTCCCGGTTTCGTTATGTGCACGGTGTCCGTAACTTACACACAATGTATCTCACATCAATCTTTTATTGTGCTACAACATTGTCAGCTCAATTGAAATTCAATGATCTATGCTTATATTTGAGCTTATATCTGCTGTTGCAGCAACTCCCTTGTGCCCAAATGGACCTCCAGATAAAGAAGTTCTATGCAATGCCTGCGGCTCTAGATGGCGTACCAAGGGGACCCTTCCCAATCATACGCCAATGCATTCTGGTGGATCCGAAGGGTGGGCAAGCCCTGAAGTGTCCGCTTTAGGACATGGGAACAGTTGTTCTTCTGAATATCGATCTTCCAAGCGAAAGGAACCATCTGGGGGACATCTGCAATTAGGTCCCATCCGCAAGTTTGCTGGAAATGACTCTACCTCAGCATCAAGCCTAAGCTCTTATATATCAGATTCTGATGAAGATGCTAATGGCCTGAGCTCACCAGTTCGAAGTGATACTGCAGGTTGGCTAATCTGCCTCAAAAACTTGATTCTGCTTGTTGTTGAGTATGCCTGGATGGTGATTTTACTTACAGTTGTGCTGAGTGAAGTGGTGCTCTCTGTTTCTACTGTTAGAGTTATGTTTGAGCCCCTTTGATGTTTTTATGCAGTAGACTCCAGCCCTCCATGGGAAGGCCGTGTTCCTTGTAGGAAGCGCTCATCCATGCCTCGGGCATGCACTTCAGTTGATAAGCTTATCAGGCAATTTCAAGACCTAGTGTACGAGGACTCACCAGTTCGCTCTTCACTGACCAGTGAATCAGAAAAAGGGGATATTGGTAAATAGCAATCCCTCAGCAGTAAAGACGAAAGATGTCTTGGATTTTTTTTCTATTGGCAATCTACGTTACAGAAGTGTATGATCAATAGCATGATAGATGCAGAATTGCCTATGCCTCTGAACACTTGGCTATCCTGATGTCTTCTCAACCTTATCCTGTTAATTTATGCATTTACCGCCTTCAGAAGTTCAGGCGATGCTCAAACGTTATGTGATCAATGCCGATCTGCAGATCAAGAGACTTGACAAGGCGAAACTGAAGGGGTGCTTATCTCCACTGTGCTTAACAATTCCCAGGTTCGCTGGTATAGTCGATCAAAACAGAGGCATCGACAATTACTTATCTTTGATAGGGGTGCAACAGCAGAAAATTTATCAGAGCCTGAGATTTTGGACACGGGGAGCTCTAATGATTACAGGAGCACGGCTGTCTTTGTTATGGATACAGTGGCCTGCTTCCTACTGAACGAACGCGTAGAATGGTCCTAGTTGAATATGATGACACACCACATGCCAATTTGCTTTTGGACAATCCAACGAGTATTATGTTACGGGACAATGGACTTGCCCAAAATTCCAAATGGCAGAACGACAAGAAGGATTTGGATGTGGAGGTAAGCAAACTCTCTGTTTACCTCCTTGCTTGCCCTACCAATTACGCTTTCATGCAAACTTGTCCTTTTAGTGTTCACATTCTAAGCTTGTTTTAGTCGTGTGCGTTTTGCAGGTTGAAACAACTACCCTTCTGAGAGATATTTGACACACAGAAAGCAACCCCACGGAACTGATTTGGGATCTTATTTGTGGTTGACCTGACCAGGCTCCTTCCTAATGGAGCTGTACTGAATCCTGGTTGGATGTTCAATTGAGGAGGTGCTCATTGGCGTTGGGTAATAATTAATGATCGGATCGTTTTGTGGGTTTCGTATCAAATCTCTTTATCTCCAACCTTCTAATCCTTTCCAAGTCCCCTACTACATGAGGAGATGGTTTCAATTTTTCTTGTCCAGAGTGTACCATGATAACTACATCGTATTTTAGAAACTGAGATGTTTCCGTTCCATCTGGGATACAGAATGTTGTCCTCGGAGCATAACATCTTCCACGTTTTTTGCTATATTTTCTGAAGAATTTTCAGTCCATTTGTACTCCAGGACCTAGTTTTCTGTTCGTTCTCAATGGCTTAAGTTTTGTGCTCCAGCTGCACCTTGGACAAAATCTCCAGAATTCGGAGAGGGTGAAATTGCCTGCCTGGTCATAGAGCATTTTCCAAAAGGTGTCTTCTGAATCCAAATGAGGAAAAATGAATCTTTTGGATCATTATTAACGATTGAATCAAGTAATCAACTACATAACAATAATATTTTCTGTAAACGTAATGTACGGGAACATTTTCTCTTTAACTTTTAGTGTTGTGTTTAAAGGACGTGTGCTTTCTAAAGAGATGTTTATAAGTATTAGGGTATTTGATAGCCTATAACAGAACGAAATTTTCATTAAAGATTAAGACAGCATGTTTTGATACCCGGAAGCAGCTGTTTATTAAAAATTTTAACTTTTCAATTACCATATTTAAAAAGTTTCTGTAAAGATTTTGTATGTCTCGATACTTTGTTAGTTCATTCAAGTTAATTATATTCGTTACTATCAGTGAATTTAAAGTAAAGCTCGTATTTGTAGGTAGATTTTTGTTCTTGACAATCCTTGATAATATTCAGTCTTAGTAGAGAAGGTGAATGGCCACTACCCTTAAATCCTTTAATTAGATATATTTGTGGATTGTCTCATTGTTGACTTTTCAATGAAAAAAATCAATCCAAATGATAGAAAGAATATATACATTAGTTACAATTAATTTATTTTTAAAAATCCAAGATATAAGTTGAAAATTTTAGAATTGTAGTAATATAATCAATTGATCCATATTATGGCTATTTTCACTTTATCTTATCTCTTATGACTAAAGCACTCCAACCTTCTAAGATAGATTTTTAGGTGCAAAAATATCTTACTTTTGTAAGTTATTAATATTATTAATCTTTTTCTCTAATATGTATTTAAACTATTATTGTGCTGCAAATCATATTTATTGATTTGTTTTAATTTTTGCATTAAAATATACATACAGAAGTTTGTGTATATACATTTAATATTTTTACTTTTTAAATAAAATTTATAATTAGTAATATTATGACTTAAATATATTTTCCATCAAAAACGTTTTTTCAATTTACTATTATTTCTAAAGTTATATTCTAAAACAATATATATTAGTTGTATATATATATATATATATATATATGCACACACATATGTTCTTAAAGTATTTGTTATAATCATGGATGTTGTGTACCCTTGACTAATACAAATAATTTCTTGATTGTTGAATATTACAATTTAAATCAAATCATTCCTAAAAGAATTAAAGACTATGGAAATTGTATATAGTTGTAATTGTGTCTTTGGAACCCATAAGTAAATTTTGAGTTGATAAAGGTTGATACACAAAATTAAAAGAACTAAAACAACTCTAAATTAAATTACAACATTATTGCAATTTTAATTACTACAAAGTGACTAACATAAATTAGTGGCAACACTAGCCAAGTAGAGCCTAATTCTAGTTTTAATCTAAGTACTAATAGAGTGAATGTATTGAATAGAGAAAGTGTGCATGTGTGCTTCTAACATCTCCTTTCTTCTTGTGAAGTGCAATTATATTTTAAAAATAAATAATAGAAGGAAAGTAAAAAAATATAAAAATAATAAAGAATGATTGAAAAAATTCCAAAATAGAGAATGAATCACTAGTAACAATAAAATGCAAAAATGCTTGGTTATATATGAAAACAGTCATGTTGTTGATAGCACATATATAAGAGTACATCTAATTGTATTATTGTATCTTATGAATACTTTCATAATATATAAAGTATTTGTTTTCACAAGGATGTATTGAGCAAAAGTGTCCAATGCTTTTACATCATAAGGCAAAGAATTCTACCATCTTTAAACCGTGATAGTAAGATGATGCAAAAAATGAATGCTTGCATGTATTTTCACTTCACAATATCAAAAGACTTTATTTACTTGACAGTAAATATGTCACAATGTTACAATACAATTTCATCTTACTACATCAATAAATAAAATATAGACATAAATATTTGCATATTGTACCATTGAATGCTAAGATATGAATTTCCAAAGTTTAGAGTAAAAATATCCTTTGAGGGAAGGAAATGTTTTGAAGAATTTTGTTATAATTTGAGCTTTTGTACAAAATAAAGGGGTTTTTGAGAGCTAAGACATCATATGTAAGCCAAAGATAAATTCTCTATAGCTAGGTATCCAGTGTATTTTCAAATTACAAATTAAGCCATATGATAATGCAATAATAGCCTTCTTTATGGGATGTAAGCAAATTTCTTAAATTCTTGCTAAAAAAATTAATATACTTAAAAAAAACATGGAAATGAAGCAGTGACTCTAGATTGGATCTCAATTAAGTTTTTTTTTTTTTTTTTTTTTTTTTTTTTAAATTCATCAGCAAACATAATACTATTATAGAAAAATTATTTATATCACTATTCTCACCATGATTTTATTTAAAGACCTATATTATGTAAACATAAACTTATGGATTTGACTCAAGATAGCGACAAGACCTTAAGATTTTTATATATATAATACTATGAAAGATCCATACAAATTTATGAAAGTTGCTTCATAGATTATAAGAGGATTGGATATAATATTTTGAAGTAATATGCACAATATAACTATAGCATATCAATGCTTCTGTATTAGTATAGAAGCAAGAATTTGTTAGCATATACTTGTCTCATTCAATAATAAAATAACAAAAAAAATTCAATAATAACAATTGATTATTGTAACCTATTCTTTAATTGTCATTTTGATTTGAATACAAAACATTTGATAAAGGAATGCAAAGCAACTAGGATTAAAAGAAGTATAGAGGCAAAAGAGGTTGTATCAATAAGTGAGTACTCAATTGCCTCAACTTTAGAGCAAGCACCAATACCACATTCACATGCTCTTGCTACCAATGAAAAGTTACTTATTCCTCTCTCAATTGTTGTTAGACAAAATTAGACTATTTTGATGAGATTGTTTGGTCCTTTCGCAAAGAAACTGAAGTGTAGTATAGATCCTTTGAACCAAGATACAATGTGGGCTATCTTCCATCATCCAAAGGACGGTCAAGGAAGCCAATAATAGATCTTAGTAGAATAATTTTTCCACCTCCATCCTCAATATAAAAGACACCATACTCCACTAATCTACACTGCTCTAATTATTCACATTGACTAAAGTAGCAACATCTTTGATCCCTATATAGATTAGTCTACGAGTTTTTTTTCCAACTCAAAATAAAGAAAGAAACACCATGATATGGTTTCTTATATTGCAAAGAGAGACAAATAAAGTTGTAATAATTCATTTTTTGACTGTTCTAAATAGAGCATCAATACATGAAGATCCTATAGAGCTTACATGAAAAACAACCAAAAGGCCTTCTATTGCAATGAAGAGAGTAGATATTTAAGAAATTGACACAAAAGGTGGAATACCTATTGTTGATAATTTTAGAGATTTTAATCTATCAGTAAAAGAATTGAGGTTGTTCCTCTAAGAAACTTTATCTTAGACTATTATTGGCATTTAGCTTAAAACCACAATAGATGAGAATCGAAGCAAAGAAAATGAAGTTTGATCATACCTCCTTCTTATTCACATTACAAATGGATTTAGTCATAATTATGCATTTCCCAACTACACTAACATCATTCCATTTAATACAAAAAAATTGATACTTCATATAGCCTATTATATTAATAGTTATCCAATAATAATAACTAATACTTTGGACAACTTATAAAGATTGAATATTGATAAAAATAGAATAGCTTTTCAATCTCACTCAATAAATATTGCTAGTATATAGAATATATGCAATATCTATCTAATAAAGTTACATATTAATATAGAGATCTTTTTAATTCTTTATTAAAACATAATGACATCAAGAATGTTAGCTAAGGTAGCGGAAGGAATCCTTGAGCTTTTTCATGCTCAATTCTACTATTAGTTAAACAATATGAATATCTTAAAACCTAACTGTGGATTCCTAACGCCTTAGCCTCAACAACTTATAGAACATCAATTGCTTTGTTAATAAGATATTTAGCATTTTCAAATAAAAAACATGATCTAGTACTTTAAAGGTGAAGAACACTAGGAGGTATATTAATAGTCAGCCTAAGGATTACTAAACTCTTTTTTCTTCTCTCTCTCCTCCTCCACCTCCACTATGAAAATTACAAAAATCATCAATAACCTCGAAGAACTCAATGATTCTTAAAAATTTGATTAAGTAAAAAGTTATTATATAATTTTATTCTTAAGCATTGATATTATGTATTTATAAGAATATAGAGTATATGGATTGAAATTAATATATTTAAAAGATTAAATATAGCCTCAAATAATTTTGTAGAGAGAAAACCATCTATGGACTACAATCAAGACATCATAGATGTAGGAGCAGAGAAAAGTAAGATATGTATATAAGTAGCACTCCACCTCCTTTTGTTGATTTTGGACTTGGAACATTCTTGGTGTGGATGCACTATCTGAATGTGGCTAAACAGAGTTTTAGAAAGCAATGTAATAATACTAAATATCTATATCTCTATTCTCTGTTCAAAGTGGTATGTTAAAAGAGAAATTTGCATCTTTTTTCTTTGTGGATACCAATGGATCTTTTGCAAAAAATAGAACTTTGTAGAAAAGAGGAAAAATATGTTGATTCAAGAAATAATGAAATAGGCTTTTGCTACCCTCATGGCGATGCTTTAGGTTGAAGATTGGTTTCTGCTAAATGATAAAATCAAATGTTTATAAAACAATTGTCAAAAGGATAGAGCATGTATCATGGCTCAGCTAGACATAATCTATTCATTGAAGATAGAAGATGTTGAAGTATATTCAGTAGTGGATTATCTTATCTAAGGTAATTATATTTTTGATTTCTACTTACTAGTAGAATGCACAATGTAGGTCAAAATACAACAACTCTAATAATTTTCTTTTAAGATAAATACAACATATCTCAATGGTACCACAATTTGTTAATAGATAGAGCTGATGCAATTTATCCACCTTCACCTTTGATTCTTTAATAAATTATAAAAGACGATAAAATTCTACTATGGTTATTGCATCTAGAAAGTTCAATATTTTTGTAAGAAAAAAACTCAGTAGACATAATTCTTTTTGAATACTAATGCCATCTTACAATCCAACCCATTTAATTTGTTATTGCAAGGTTGTTTGGAAGTTGTGACTAGCAAGTTGCAAGACCTCAAAAGTTGGAAAACCAAAGGCATAAGGATTTGAAGTAGAATTAAGTAGATGCATGTGGACAATTCTAATTCAAGAGAATTTTTTAGAGCAACAAAAGAATGCTTGAGGGAGGCAATGATCTTGGAATTAAAGGACAAACATGGAATTTTGCACACTAATTAAGACAATTTGGAACAAGTTTGTACATACTTTTATGCAGCATTACATACAATTATCACTCCTTTGGCATTCATCTTAGTAGAAAATAAACAACATGTTATTGCACAATTTGCAAATGAAACCTCTTTCACTTTAAGAGGAGTAGAAAGTTGGGTACAAGGATTGTTTCACTTACTTAACAACCATTGTTTAAACTCAAGTCTAATTTTAAAATGGCACAAGCCTTGCGGTTACTAGCAAGCTGAAGACCCTTGACCAGCATGGACAAATGCATTGAAGATCACCTTGGTTGATGATGGGAAAATCAGCAAGTTGTTAGGCAATTCCTTTGAGCTGAAGATGTCATCTTTAGCTACAGATGAATTGTTGAAAGCCAAAATTGATAAGAAACTCAAATATTGGAATACAACTAATATAAATACCACATGGAGATCTGTGATTGCTAATAGGATCTTACTATCATCTATTTTTTTCTTTGCTACATTATGGGGGGATATCAAAGTAGGCATGGCTAAAGTTCAATCCTAGGTACATAATTATATGTGGTCTGGTTCCTTGTAAAGAACCTGCATGAAGGTCTCATAGTTATAATGATGCCAACCAAGAGAGAATGGTGGCATTGGAATGATTAATCCCACGGATGCTTTGGTAGCTCTCATGACTAAGTGGATACTGAAGGCATGTCATCCTAGAATGTCCAATCTGCAGGTTCTATTGAGATTCCAGCTTAGAAATTTCCAACCCTACTCTCATGGGAGATGGGCTCTGATTTTGGAATACTTCACCCTCCCCCACTTCCAAGCCAGGAAAGGATCAAAAGTTTGGTCACGTATTGGAGTCTCTTGGAGGAGCCTTGTCAAGAAATTGCAACCAGTAAGTCCCCAAATAGTGGAGGAAGTGGCCAGCAAATCTTTGTGGTAGTCCTCGTCTTTGTTCTTCATTGAAGCCGGGTTTTCAAAAATGCGAGCCTCCTTGTTACACAGAGCAAGTCTGATGTGTGTTCGGGATATAAGAAAAGAGGGGTGCTTCATTGTGTGGTACCAATCATGGCATATATCGCCTAATTCGGTAGAGAGCTCTTGTAGAGAAAGCATGTAGGCCCTAATCCGATGTTAAAGAAGTGGGAGGGAGTACTTCCGGGAGACTATCGCCTTCGGTGGAAAACGGTATGGACAAAAACTCGAACGAGTTAGAAATCGAGCCTTCTATGATTGTTGTGGCACTGAGCAATAGCTATCAATGTGTGGCGCAGTCACATTAATCATGCGGTTACTCTCCATTGCCCGGTCTGCCCACGAAGATTTTATGAAACGCTGCTTCACCACTTTGGGGAATGCTCCTCAGCCCAACATGGATAGCAGTGGGATACACAAATCCTCAACTTGCTAATCCACGGCTCGGATGCGCGAGGCCCATGGCAGCCACTCTCATGGAGGCAAGGATTTTTTTTGGATCGCATCCCTCGGAAGTTTGATCAATTCAGCCTCTTGTGGTCCCAGATAAGAACCGTGGTTCTTTGGACGGTATGAAAGGAAAGGAACAATGCTGTTTTTAACATCACTTGGTCCGCTAGCAAATTGCTTCAGTGCATATGGCTCGAGTTAGTTGACTATGGTAGAGTTGAGTGGTCAGTAGCATGGAATACCAGGAAAACACGAGCAGTAACAAGGACCACGCTAATTCAACGTTGCGAGAAACGCCGGTGTTGGCAAGGTCTTTTTTCTTCCATGGTCAACGGTAACCCACAGTGGGTCCTCTCTGGTCCTATTGCAGGTTCTGTGTTTCAACTTCCATGGGCGGATCTGTCAAGACCAACTTTGAGGTAGATAATAGTGCTTCGGGGATAGCCCAAGGCCACTCAGCATCAGTCCGGTCGGATTTTTTTGCTGTGCCAATTGTTTTTGTTGTTTCACTCGTAACATTGTTTCCACCCAGGCCACATGCAGCTGGGTTGGTTGTATTATGGTTCTTCATGACAATGAAGTTTCTTTCATTCGTTTCAAAAAATTAAAATTAAAATTAAAACTACTTAAAATTGACTTGAATATCCAAGGACTGTACATGTCATTGTTCCAATGGACATGTTTATTTTCAAATCAAGATATGCTAAGTCGTTCTGATTTTGGAGCAGTTGAGGTGTGTACTGTCGCTTCCAGTAATTTGTTACAAACGGACAGTTTCCAGATAATTAGTGTGAGCGGTAATTGCTTCTCTATGTAAGTGAATAAAATTTATCTCACATGGACATTTCAAACGAAATAAAACATTTTATGTCTAAGTTCCTCAATACAAACAAATACAAAAAATCTATATATGCAAGAGATCGTAAATTCACATCCACAGTTCTTAAGGGCCGTATGTTAGAACTTTTTCTTAGTTCAAGTTCTACGTTTTTCCCAGCTCAAGACCTACGACGAATAGAACCAAATCAAGAGAACACAGTCACACTTCGATAATTAAGAGGGTTCTGAAACGAGGGTAGAAGACTAGAAGAGATGAGTTGCCAAACATTTACCATCTGGTTTTGTTGTCTCTCTACGAGAGATGGGTTGCTTCAGATAATAGATTAAAATTCAATAATTTATAGTGGGTTCATCACCATTTGTTTCTATTGATAGCAGGGGCGTGGATAACTCATCAGACTTAAGAGCCACAAGTGTTCTGCTTATGCAATGACGTCATTCAAGAAAATTCTATCAGACGTCTTAGACAACAAAACCATCACACTTAAAACCCATGTAACAAATGCGAGAAAAACGTAACATTGAAAGGAAAGGCACACCACGTTCAAAAGAAGAGCAGCGACACAGAGATTGTGGTTGCGAGTCAGAATCAATGTATACAAAATTCTTATTTCTCACTTTGAATCTACAAAACCGGCTGCCGCCCCATCTGACGATGAAAACAATCGACACCTCCAAGTGCCATCTGCATAGAAGCTTCCATGATAACTGTACAAACTAATCTCGGTGCATCTGCCACCCCACGCATCTCCAGTGCGATTCAGAAAATGTCCGGGTCTGCTCCTCTTCGAATGAAATATACAATAGCAAGGCTCCACCCGGACTCTCGCTGTTTCCGTTAAGTTTCGGTGCTGGTTGACAGAGAAACTGGAAGTTCTTCACAGGATCTAAATATTCACAGATCTACTTTCCACACACGGTGCTTGAGCAGCCACTGCTGTACACTACTAACGAAACCGCCGGTGTCCTCCTCACTAAGAAAGACCTCAGATGCCTGCCCCTTGCTGTTTGGGCATCCGCTAAGACCTAAAAAACAGGCCACCCGAAAATTGCGAAGAAGAGTAATGAAGAAATCCGAATCAGATGGAAAACGATGAAAACAAATTGACTCGTCAAAACTAGCAAAAATTCACAAAGTCCACATAATGGCAGAAGAAGAGAGAAAAGATAGAAAAAACAAAAAAAAACAAAACGAAACAAGAAAACAAACAAAAAACGAGAAGACAAGAAGAGACTAAAGAGAAAGAATCTCGAGAGATAAGGCGGAAGGCAGTCAATATCTCTCCAATCTCACGCTCACCCTGCCTTGCGAGGGGCGTTGGTGGCGATGGATCCCAAGAAGTCAGATTGGTTGGAAAATTTACTGTGAGACCCCACGGAAAGATGGTCCGATCCATAACTAGGATATACTGGAGCGCAAGTGGGGCTCTGCACGGCCTTCATATACTTTTGAACTTCACTTCGAACCATCTCTCGCATCAGTGCCACAAGACCTGCGTATACAGCTGCATCTAAACCATAACTCAAAGGTGCAGGTGGAGCTTTCCAACTCTTAGCGCCTCCTGCCCCCTGTGCTTGAAGAACCGGATCAAAGGCTTGCGCAACAACAGTTCTTACCGCAGCACTCATCAATTCTGCTGTTTGGGAGTTATCAGGCAAACCATACCCGCTGTGAGGAGGTGTCAAGGGAGAGGATGAGGGGTTCGAGAGTCCAGGAATCTGCGTAGCCATAGGGGAAGTATGAGCAGGGAAAGAGGACACGGAAAACTTGTCTTTTAACGACTGATCCACAGCAGTACCGCTCTCCCAACGTCCGTGGGCCGGAAGTTCTGGCGAATCGGGCTGATTAGGAAGGCAAGGCGCGTGAGAGGAGGTAGATAACTGACGACGAAGGGCACTGTCTTCGGAAGAGGACTGCTCTTTCCTCGTTGGGCTTGACCCAGGAAGTGAGAGACTCAGCGACGTCGGAGGGTCATTCACCTCGGAAGTGTCAGAGCGCTCGGACAACGGGGGCGCGTAGGCAGCGTTAGGACAGTAAGATGCGAACGAGCGGGCAACGGGTCGAAACACCGGAGGGACTTCGACAAAACCGACAGGAAGTTCTCGAGGGGAATCGCCGTCAATATGCAGACGTTTCACCTTGTGAGAATCCACTTCCCACCCACCCTTATCTTGCACACTCCCGTCAGAAGATATCTCCTTGCTGTTACGTTTTCGTCCATCGGCGATGCCTGAGTCGTCATCATCGCATGTCCCTAAGTGCCCGGCATGGCAGTTGTGATGGTCATCGCATTCGGTACGAGATGGTCGCTCCGCCATGTGACGACGACGCAAGGTTGAATTCCAATGATTTTTGATCGCATTGTCAGTTCGCCCAGGAAGAAGGCGAGCGATTGTAGCCCACTTGTTCCCATGCTGACTGTGAGCTGCTATAATCGTTTCGTCTTCAACTGTCGTAAAAGGACGATGCTGAACTTGAGGGCTCAGTTGGTTGCACCAGCGAAGCCTGCAAGACTTTCCCGATCTTCCCGGGATACCCTTGCCAATCAGGGACCAGTTCCTGGGGCCATACTTGTCCACAAGCTGCTGCAGAGCAGAATCTTCCTCCGGACTCCACGGGCCTTTTATCCGGTCGACCTCCTCGCTCACATGACATCGCTGTGCAGTCCCCATTGCCATTTCCGCCACGGTCCAACCACTGCTTCATATACAATCTCGAACCTCCAAAAACGTCAGACCGACAAACTAACTTGGTTTCGCAGTGGCAAATAGACACGGCGGTTGGTGCAGGAGCCGTCCAATATGTGGAGTCGATGATAAAAATGAAAGAATCAAACGGGACCACCGTCGGGAAAGATTGTACAGAGATGTTAACTTTAACTGGGGCAACACGTTGAAGCCACAAATCGTAGTAACTAATATGGTTGAGATGTGAGGGAAACTGACTTGTGCTCGATAACTACAAGGGGCAGCGAGAATATTATCGTTTCGGAGATTTACACTCGTATGAACAGAACCCACTCTGTATTAGGACGTGCGTGGCTAAAAACACACAGGCAACTCAGATCTACCTCGGGAACAGATCTTATGGAATCCAGAGTCGTGGGCGAATCGAAGAAGCAAAATCGAGAACCCAGCGTTATCCACCGATCCAGCGACCCTGTAAGCATCAAGTGACAGGCACACAGAGGGGAAGTCAGCATAACATGTCACATCGTCAACTGGGCTTCCACTCCGGTAACCCCGATTATCAACTACGGATGCAACCTAGTGCATTCCACTTGATCGATCCTCAATGTGCAGTTGAAAAAGATGGTTTTTCGAACAGGACCAAATGACAAACCTCAATCGACATTAACATGCTACAGGAAGCAGATGACTTACATACAAGATGTGTAAAATGAGATTAATTAAGCCACGCGCGCACTAATGAAAATTACCATAGAGGCGGTCGAGATTAACGAGTGTGTTGGTATGAAACTGAGGGGCGAGGTATGGAGACTGTCACGGGCACGAGAATCCGTTCCAATTTTGCTCATAAGCGAAGAAACTCGCGGCCGAGTTGCAGTCCGACTCGCGATTTCAACCGCGGTTGATTCCGTCACACATCCGCTGACATCCTAGAAAGCAAACGCATCGAATCCGATTAACGGTGCATACACACACACCTCCTTTATATCTCCGCAGGTATCCACCACCACATGTCCCCACCCCAAAACCCCGAACCTTGACCCTCGCCGTCGCTCTCTCTCTCGCCACGCCTTCCCTTGACACCATACACTCCACTCGAGACTCACGAACCATATAAACAAGGAACAATGACAACGCGAACACAGCCCCCCCGGCAAAACGAACGTCGGAAATGCTGTTTTTGAATAAAATGGGGAAAAAGAATCAAAATAACACAAACAAAAAAAAAAAAAAAAAAAAAAAAAAAAAAAAGAGAGACGAAATCTGCACAAGCTCTCGATACACACACACGAGTGGAACGACTCAGAGAAACGACCCTAGGAACCAAAACGGCCGCATCGAAGGTCACCGAGGAGATGGATGCGGGAGGGAAGAAAGAGGCGATCGGGGCCGAGTGAGGGGCGGGGAGGAGGACGAAGAATGAAACCCCGGTATCAGAAACACACTGCCAGGGGCTCCTTTCCACGGGCTAGCTATTGTGGAGACGCTGCGAGGGGGAAGACGACGACACACCCCACATGTTGATACCCTGATAAACACGTCCTATACCCTCCAGATTCCTTGGTCGACGTTACAGTGAGGTCCGGGTACGTGTGAACGGTGGTTTGCACACATCCCGAAGTAGAGGGGAAAGATCAAAACGAAGGACACTTTGAGAAGCTACCTCCAACTGGAGGACCGGCCATTATTTAGGCCTTACATACCACAAATAGAAGGGATGATGTAATGTCATATAATATTTGATATAATATATTAGAACACGGGCGGCCTCCCCTTTCAAAAGTCTGGTTATGGGGGGGGGGGGGATAACTTCCTTATCTTACTCTCCACCACATGTCCACCTGGAGTTTGATATAATAGTGTGCAATGAAATATCTTCTTCGCAGTATCTCTTCATCTTTCTCCGTGTGTGTGTGTGTGAAGGGGAAGATTTTTCATTTGTGAAATCAGTCATCCTTGTTCACTCATTCACGTCACTGACCCCAAAACCTTCGCTCCTCACTGATCACCAAGCGAATCCTTTTCAATTCTCTCATACATAAGTATATATATATATATATATATATATACTCTATTTTTTCAATATTTTTGAATAGGTGACTCATTCTTTGACATTTCAAAGCCTTTAGGGAACCATAATTAAAGGCGTACGTGTTGATTAAGCCATAATTCACTTACAAATGAACATTAATGATGAGGGAATAAAGGAGACAGTGCTGGGCGTGACTTCTACTCACTCACAAAACGGAGAACCCTAATGAGTTAAAGGTCCATTTGTACTATCCAAATCCATCATTGTGAAACTGTGTATGTTTCTACTCTGTTGAATTCAATTCTCAGGAATTACAACAATTTCTCCCTTCTTTTATCTCCTTCGAAAAAACAAATAATTAGTATGTTTGGTAGGGATGCATTAAAACGTACCAATGAATGTGTGAGATTTGTTTTGTTTTGTTTTGTTTTTTTTTTTTCTTGCCTTCGTCTAAAAGTTAAACAAACATTGAATGTGGTAAAAATGATGCATAGTAATCAAATTTCAACTGAAATTTATGCAAAAATCTTTGATTTGTACATGTCTCCTCTAAACATCATTTTTCCTGCAAGCAAGTAAATTTGATGCATTTGCCATTGATTCATTAGTAATCTTGAAGTCACCCTTAAGAAATCCTGTGGCAAATTAAGAATTCTAACACTGTGATTCACCTATAGATCTCACTTATGCACTGTAAGCATAATTATGATGAAGAGCAGATTTGACATCATGGGTTCCATTTTTTATTCATTCATTTCTCGTGCCTTGGTGTTTATCAGTATAGTTATTAATCTTAATATTTTTCGTCACTATTTTAACCGTTCATCAATACAAATGAACATCTGCTGTTGCTGAAGCTGAGCTTACCTTGTGAGGATTTGTGGCTGGGCAAAGCCTATTCACAACCCTCCTTTCCAGCACTCCCTTCTATCTATGTTTAGTGAGGAGGAGGATTTTGTAGAATATGATGCCCTAAAAAGATACTAATAATCCTCTGTAGTTGTCCTCTCTTCAGATTCCTTGCTTCATAAAAGCAAATTAAACAGTAATACTACCCCTTCTACTATATTCTCACGCACCCTAAATATCCATGAAGTCGCGGGTATTCTAAAAATGAGGAAAGGTCTTATATTTAGGAAACAATTTGCCCAAATGCACAGAGTTTAATGAATATCCATCGTTCAATTCTCTTGGATGAGTTCTCAGCGAGTTAGTCCAAGCTTGACTTCGTGAAATGACCAGTAGTTTTTTTTTTTTTTAACTTTCATTTCAATACAATCCATCTTAGAAAAATCAATTGGTAAGACACAAGACATGTGTTGTAAGCTTACACACTGGTAATATTTTTCATTATGTATTTATTTATTTATTTATTTATTTTTTTGTGATATTCTTTACTGTAGAAGTTGAAGAAGAGGTTGATTCATATATATATATATATATATATATATATAATTCTCCCTGGAGTTGCTGAACTAATACTAATCAGAAACCAGAATTAGCATGACCCATCCCTCAAACAAGTTGTTCATGGTATCAGTAATTGCTGTAGTTGGGGAAAATTTGTAAATGTTGTGAAGGGCAGCTTAAGAAAGCTTCACTATTTTAAACTAATTAGTTCACTGGCCTTACAAAGGCTTCCTAGACAGAAGAAGTTTATTAATATTACTGTTACCACCATGTGTATATGTACAAAGTGCATGCTGTGCTTTCACATAAGAATTCTTCTTGACAAATTTTTCAATGACATGGTGACCCCCCCCCCACCCAGCTACTTTTACTGTCAAAAATTTGTTCATCAGTGTGGTATTTTCCTGAAACAATGCATGCACACTTACTATGATTATTATTATTTATTGCAACATTGTTAACCTATTCCACTACAGCCATAATTCACCATGGTGATTGCTAAATCTGTCCACAAATGTTTTATTTTTGCAGACCCTATATTTTATTCAGATTTTTTAAAATATCAATAACTCTTGTCCTCTCCAGAAGTCATGTACAGTGCAAAGTGATGGTCTTATCCTGTGGGTGATGAGAATAGAAAAATGAAATAAAAACTAGTTGTTGCTGCACCCAAATGGTCAAGCCAGAGAAAGCAAATATGCTTCAATCTTCATCATTTCTTCCAACCCCTTTTTTTCTCCACTCCTACTCACCTACCCACAAACAAACAAACAAACAAACAAAGGCACACACTCACTCACTCAGAAGCCTAGAAGCTAAGATATCTGAGTCATCACCAAAGTTTGAAAACCCAGAAAGTAACTGCCACTGAAACACCCCCAATCAGCTCACACTTTCATGGCCGTGTATCCCTCATCTTCTGTGCCCTAAAGCACCTTGGGAGTTGCTCCGGGGTCTTTTGTTTTGTTTTCATTCTTATTTTTTCAAATTTCCTCTTCCAGAGGAGAGAGATGGGGACAAGGGAAGGAGCAAGAAGAATTTGAAGGAAGAAACCATATATATGGTCACCACCTTGTTGTGCCACATGTTATGTCTGGGGCTTGCAGGGTGACAATTACAGATGGAAATGGCAATCTCTGCAACCTCCAGGTATAGTTTTATAAATTCTACAGAGAGAGATAGAAACTGGGGGAGGGGGGAGGGAAGGGCTATGGAATTGGAGCTTGGAACTGGCATGGAATGCCAGGTACATAGCCCCTTCTTCCCATGTGACTACACCCAATGCATTGGAACTCAAATTGTGGGTTTTGTTTATTTTATTTGTGTTTAAAGTACCCATTTTTTAAATTTTTTTTATTTCTTTACATTGATCCAATATTAGTGAGGGAATGCAAGCAATGTGCTTTCTTCCCATTCTAAAGCTCAACAGGAGGCATGTCTCCCCTAAAACATGGGCTGTGGAGAGTTGACCCCACATTCACCCCCCCTACAAACTTTCCATACCCCCTCCCCCCCCCCCATTCATTGTAAAACCACATCCCCTTGTGTTATGTTCCCATAGACTTTACAATAGTTTGGAAAGATATTGCCATCTGAAAAAACAAAGATCCATCCCATCCAACTCAGCTGAAGACGGATGTAAAATAAAGGATGAATAAATGTATGTTGGTCCATTTGCATGGTGGAGAGCTAGAGTGCCAAAAAGGCACAAAAAGGAGGAGTAGGAGGAATGTTTTTTTTTTCTGGACCTGGAAGTGGGAGTTTGCTGATTGTGAGAGCTCCACAAGGGACCAATCCCAATCCCAAACCCAAACCTAATCCCAAACCCAACCCAAACCTGAGCCCAAAGTCAAGGAAAGGGGCAATGCATGCAGCAGTACCAGGGGTGGTGTGGACCTTGCCTTGCTCCTCTTTTTTATCTTTGTATTGGGATTTGGGTTGTTTGGACCCATGTGTTGTCTAGTAGTGTAGGTCAGTTCCATCTGGAGAAGACACAGTTCCACACAATTTGCAGTGCAGAATGCAAAAATCATTACACACTTGGTTTGGTTTGGTGAACTGAGCTTTCTTACTAATGGAGAAGCATGTGGAAAGGCTGGCTCAGGGTGGTGATCCATTCCCCATCTCTGTTTGATTCACCAAACCAGCTTGATTCCATTCTGATCATGAACACAGCCCCTCTCTCTCTCTCTTTCTCTCTCTATTGAGGTCTTGGAAGATTTTTATAAGTATTGTGTGGAAGACAAACAACAAAGACAATGACAGAGGATTGAAAAAGTTTATACATTTAGGTAAAAAAAAAAAAAAAAAACAAACAAACAAACAAAAACAAACAAACAAAAACAAACAAACAAAATAACAAACAAATAAAACAAAACATAGAAGGAAAAAGTAAGTGTTTGTTTATTTGGTTTATTTTTTGCATCAATATTAGTGTTTGGTTGGATTTACAAGAGATGTTTTAAGTTTGAGAAAATAATAATTAAATCATGAATGCCTATAGATGTTATGATGAAATTTCTTATCTCAATGTTTGAATTTAGTAGTGCCTCCATTAATTATTTCTATGCTCAACAATGTTATTTTTTTCTAATTTTTTAAAAATTGCTAGCAAAGGCTTCTTCATTATATTGCAATTCATATTTGACTTTGATTGATTTGAATACAAATGAACCAGTTATTACAAAATACATGCAATTATAAACTTTACTTTCAACCAAGTCAAATCATGAGTTAGCATTGTCAAGGTATCTTTTAAATGTGCTTCAAAAATATACAAGAATACAAAATTTCCTTTGATCATAAAATAGTAAACATAAAAAGATATTATAAAGCTTGCACTTTTAGAACAAAGAATTTAATCTAGTTACAAAATCTTAAAACACTCATAGACACTTATAAACACTAAAGAAACCAGTAATATCATATGATAAAAGGATTCAAATCATGTAATATGAAAAAAATAACTTCAAATACTGATAAGTTGATTTCATCTGCTTTTCGATTTTAAATTGAACTTCTGTGCTCAAAGGATCTATTCAAAGGCAAGCTAAGAAAGTCAAATAGATTTTTTTTATTTTTTTATTTTTTATTTTTTAAATTTGTATGTAGTTATATAGAAGTTGAGACTTGACACTTAAAACAAAGTGCTCTAGGATGATTACTAACTTTCTTAAAATCAATTCTTGAAGAACAACTTGAAGACATTCACACACCTCTCTATGAAAATATATATATATATATATATATATGAATGTGTTAAATAAACCTAGGTTTTTGCTAAATTGACCGACCCATGATGAAGAATATGATAATCATAATGAATATGGTTGATTTTTATTGGTTTTAGTTATCATTTTTTCTTTTCTTTTTATGATAGGTGGATTAATCTAATAAAAACCTAGGTCTATTTTATATTCTCATATATATACACATTCATATATATATATATATATATATATAAGTGAGATTTTGATGTTACTAGCAAGTATGAGACAAGGCACACACAATGATCGGGAAAAACGTCAATGACCAGTTTATTGCTCAATTGGGATAACATTGCCTTTGGTCCAACACTAGCTAACTCATGGTGCTACTTGGGACCTGCTAAGTAATGTGCTACTTCTTGACGGCAAGCATGGGTGAATGCTGAGAGCGACGCCGTGCGGATGCTCGCAGGAGGGCGATAGATCCTGCTCGCAAATGCGGAGAGGACGGAATTCTGTCCATCAAATCTTCTACTTTTATTTTCTTTTTCTGTTTGAGAGAAGGCTAGGAGAGAGCACCCGTTGCAGCGACGATTGATTGTCAGAGGACGGGGAAATCTCCTGCTTCTGGAAATAGCCAGTCATCTACTCGTGAGTAGTGTGCGGATGGTCGTTGCGGAGCAGGAGGAGAGCATCTGTCGGAGATGGCGCAGAGGTAGGAGCATGGGCGCAGGCAACGGTTGGTTCCGTTTGAGTGGCCCAAGTGGAGCTGAGCGACAATTTGGGGGAAAGAGGGATTGTACGGAAAGCCAGGCTGGCCAGAGGACGAAGCTAATCCAACTGCCTCGTCGAACAACGGCGCGTCCCACTTGGGTTTCCGGACAAGCGGTACACGCCTTCCATTCCTGGCCAACCGCCTCACTTGCGCTTTGCTTCACCGTAAGCGCTCCGAAGCTGGCACCGAACCCCACCCTCATGGGCTTTTTGGGGAGAAGAGAGTAAGATTAGTGGCTTTCAGGCCCGCCCTCGTCCGGGGTGATCTGCAGATTCTGCTATCAATGTCAACTCTCACAACTGCATTGTTCTTAAATCAATCGATACACACTTGAAAATGTCGGGAATATTCACTTCAGCTTCCCCAGTTTTAGGGGCTTCAGAAGGAAACCCTAAGACAGAGGAGGTATGACTTCGGCTCTCTAAAAATTGGTTTCTCGACGTGTGTGGGGTGGCTAAACTTGAGTTCGTATTGCATGTTAATAAGAGAGTGTTAAATTCTAAGTAGAATGTGACATATTACTAATATGTCTCATTAAGAGAAGTGTTGAGATTCGGTATGAGCAGGACAGCAATACAACTGTGTGCTTCTGCCACCTCTCTCATGATAAATGAGCAAGCATTCTGAACAGCTTTAGTTTCCATTAATGTTGTTTTGGTTCTGTGAAATCATTGGTAGTAAGCCAGCCTCAGTTGTTGAATGGAAAAAAGGAGGAATCCCTAACTTTTTTTCTCTTTATACTCGTGTGGTTTGCAGTCCTGAGGAATCTTTATAAAGGCAGAAGGCAGTTGAAAGGTTGTTAAAATAAATTAAAAAACAACTCTGAAGAAGGCGTGCAAGCTGACTAGGACCTCTCTAGAACCAATAAAATTGATCTCCTTCCTGAGTTGTCTGTTTCACACAAGCAGGTATGGCCAATCAGACCCACTCCATGATTGAGCTTCTTCCACAACTTTTAGTTTCGAGCATTCGATTTTTTTTATAAAGCGGGCAACATGTGAATGAGCAATCTGAAGAACGGTATTCTACTTACTATTCAGGTTTCTTTGTAGGCAGCTGTGCTGTTTGTACCAGAAAGTTTCAAACATGAATGTCATGCACCATTAAATATGAGCTGGAAAAAGGGTGAAGATGGGTGGGTGAAGGAAAGAGGGGTGTTATTATTTCATGCAGGCAGTCACCAAAGGAGAATTTTTTAATTTGTGGCAGGCGGCTAAATAATAGCCTCTCTCTCTCTCTTCTCTCTCCTATCCAGAGGATATAGTAGAGTTTGATTGGCTTGTTAGCTTGGGGAGGATAACATTCTTCCAAGTGCTGCACACCAATCTGCCAGTACTCCCCAACTGTTTACATTTTCGGTGTTGGTGAAACTAGAATTCACCACACAAAGACTGGGCCAATTGTGTCCACATCTTTATATATTTGCTCTATGTTTATGTTCCACCTCTTTGCCACCTACTGATAAGTGTTCCAATTACTGTTACTTCATGTTGTTAAGTTTCCTAACAGCCAGGGAAATTTAGCAGTGGGTAGGCTGTAGGGCTTTGTATCTCTTTCCAGAAGTTTGTTATAACCATATCTTTAAACAGCACCCAAATCTAAACAGATCCCAAGTTTCCATGAGTTTTTTTTTTTTTTTTTTTTTTTTTTTTGGATATTAAAAGCTTGCCCGTAACCTCCAGACTTTTGTGGACGATTTTCCCCCTTATTCTGCCCAAAGTTCAGATTCTTCTTTCTTATTCTTGCAGCAGCAAATGAAGGAAGAAGATGAAGAATAAGAAAAAGGAATATATGTTTATTTATGGACATAAATGTGGAAGACAGTTTCGCTCTTTCCTTCAATATTTAGCCCCCCTCCCCCCCCCCACAAAGGCCATTTCTATTTTCAATGGGAACATGGAACAAAGCCCAGTTTGGCGCAGAAGTTGGGGGGTTCTCGAGATGCTGTTCCTGCCGACCAGAGTGTACCAACTTGCCCTAAAAGTAAACGTTTCGTAAAGCTTTTATATAGTTGAGGAGTTCAATAAGGACCCTTTTCACATTGCTATTCATCCAACTCAAGGATTCAAGCACGCCATGTTAGCCTACTTGCCCAAAGATGATGAGAGTGAATGAGGATACTCATGAGTCTTGATTTATAGATGTCCATTTTGAAAGACTATGGTTTAAAATCCTTACTAAAAGGTCCCTTGTTTGGAGAAAAAAAATAATAATAAAATAAAATAAAAATGGAAGTCTTGCCTTGTGATATATATATATATATACTAGGAAGAAGCAATGAAAGGACCTAAATCACTGTTTTATTACAAGTTTGAATATGTTAGTTCACATCCTAATTCCAATAATTTTTATAAGTAATTGTATTGTAATTTCATGTATTATAAAAATCCTTTTAAACATTGTTTTCTACTTCTTTTTTTTTCTTCCAAAAACCATCTTTTGAGGCCAATTGAATGGAATTTGTGGAACAAGAATATTCATGCCATGTGAAAAGAAAACACATTATATCTCAAATTTATTTTTTCCTTAAGGTTTTTTATATTCGATTTCCAAATATAAAGCCAACTAAGTGAAACTTCTTATTTTGAAACAATCGAAAGATTAAAAAAGTTGCAGCTTCTCACCTTGTCTATTTAGTATAAGAATCTCCCTACTCTTATAATAAACCACCCTTGATTACAATATAGATCAAGTAAGTAAATAATTAAATGCTAGCATAAGGAAACAAACTCAAACATAATGGACTAAGTTACACTTCCAACATATCACAACCACCATACTCTATTACATATCAATGTCTTGAAAAAATTGAAGTACATAAACAAAAAAAGAATTTTGTATGTATCTTGGCAAGAGGGTAGTAGACATGGACAACACCCTCTACTAGAAATGCCATCCCATGTATGATTATAAATGTATAAACATTAATCCAAGTATTATTTAATACAAGTTTAGCACCCATCATATCAGAGCAATTGGATGAAAGATCCTGGTTAACATGCATTTCTATATATATATATATATATATATCAGATTACAAACATATAATTAAAATAAATATCTTCTGGCAACTTCAAAGAATTCTGGATTGACTTTTTATTTTATTTTATTTTATTTTATTGTCTGTTCTTTTGCATAAAATCATTACAACATAAATGCATAGTTTACATGTATTTAGAGATAATTCACAGTTTTTATGCAATTATGGTATTAAAGAATTAGATTTTGTAATATAAACAAAGAAATATATTGGAATATTCACTATCATTAATGGTAAAAAATCCAGTAAATCTTCTATGACACCATTGGAGTTACACTCACAAGTATTATTTACAAAAAAATTGAGACTCGTCAAATCTTGGTTAAATAAATGTTTTCCTGTTTTTGTTAGATAAATAGTGAAAATAATTAAATTTTATTAAACTCCACTTAATTGAAGAACTTTCGATGTGAACTGAAACCAGTTTTCTAAGACCTAAAACTTAATCAATTTATTTGTCGATGAGCATTTATATATTTAATGCAACATTGCAGCTTATTTGACAGGAATTTGGTTAGTCTTAAATGCAAACACTATCAATAAACTTGTACAATCATTTCATGAATGTGGTACTTAAATCATTTCGCCATTATACTTATGAACTTCCACAACTACCACCACTAAGGTACAATTATATTCATGATATCCTCTCTCTCTCTCTCTCTCTCTCTCTCTATATATATATATACATTAAATCTTATGTGGGTCTTTATAAAAAACAAAAACGTGATAAGTTTGATTTATCCATGGAACATTTGATATATATATATATAAATAGCCTATTTTTTAATACCTCTATATACTTCGTACTATATACTATCTTTTATAAACCTACGTATGCATGTCTGTATGTAATCTGGAGACTCAACATGAATGAATGATATTCTCCCAACCATCCATCCATTCATTACTACTCAAAACCAAGTATCCCTTCTTCTAGGGTTTGTTCCTCTTCAGCTTTCCTTTCCAATTCAATTCAAATGCTTGGAGATCCATCTTTTGTAAGCCTACAAATTAATAATAAACTTCAATTCAAAACTTTTTCAAAGCATGGACAAAGCAAATGGAGTGAGTGAGTTTAGGGTCGGGTTGTGCCCAATGTAGGGAACGGGGAACAGAGTCAAGGAGACCCCCCAGCAAGGAATGGAACGGAGAACAAAAACATTGGGGGTAGAAGCCCAACCGCGTTCCCAAAATCCGGAAGCATATCCATCCCCTAAACTCTGTTCCTATCCACATTTATAAATGAAGCAGCTATGCGAATATTATTAATACTAATATTATTAAGAATAGAACAACAGACGATATCTCCTTGTGGTTTCCGATTCTGACCGGGTCGGGTCGGGCGGGGCCGGGTTCGGAGTAACGCGGGTGAACCATAACGGAACCTTTTTTTTTGGTTTGTTTGTTTCACTATTTCCGATAAAAGGAAAACGACGGCGATTTTTGCCGCTGCCAATGTGAACACGTGCACAGTTACACATGCGGATGAATGAACTTTATGGATGAATGTTCTGATGGATGCCGGTATGACCTCTCTTCATTCTTATACATTCTGAATAATAATACTAATCTTAATCTAAAATGCTATTAACTAATGTATTTACATTTTAGAACTTTTCATGTATTAATTCTTTGATCTTTATCGATTGTTGTGGAACAGTGCATCCTGTTTCACGCTAAACTTCTGAGAAGTGTATTTGAACCCCAAAACTTTTGGTTAGAATTTGTACTGCTAAACCTAATTTGCATTCTCTTTCCAGTCTTCAAGGTCAAATTTAAATGTTTTTTGAATGATACTGGATCGTTTGTGAAGTTGGCCCGGAGCTAGTAATTGTTGCAGAAATGCTTGCAATCAATGTATATATATATATATATATATATATAATGAATGGACACGTTGTTTGTATCATCTTCAAGTATGCATTGTTGTTGATAGTCTGTAATAGAAACCTAAGTAAGTTGTTTGTAGCTTAGTTCTTTACTATCAAATTTTGAAACTTTTACACGAAAATTCAAAATTCGAAAAGCAAAAAGTTGTGCAATTTGTTCATAAACTGTTGCTAGTGATTTGGTTTAGCACCCAATAATAATAGAGTGATGTAATTTGAACCTATTTTTGAACTAATAATTACTTGATGAATAGAATGCTAAAGAGATAATTTGAAAGATATAGACAGCTGCATTTGAATGTTTTAGGTATTGCAAATCATTCTAGCATGAAGTGGGTTACAAACATGAGTTTTAGTGTAGGAATAAATATGTGAAAAGGATCAATGGACATAAAATACAAGACACGTTGTAGGTGTTAGACTATAACAGTGACAATTAATTGTAAACAAAGTTTGAAACAACTTTTCTTTTGAGCTATGTTGGTTGAGATAAAAAAAATTATTTGTTGTCAAGATAAACAATAAAATTCAAAATATTGTAGGAAGGTAGAGTCAAAAAATATGGGCGTTCATTAAGCAAATTTCATTTGTAAAATTAAATGAACATAGTAACATTTTACATAATTTTGATAAGCATAAGGTGTAAAACCATAATATTTGAAATAAATAATATTTAGCAATGAAATTGTAGCTTGGTTGCCTTGTTTATTAAGTTTATTCAAAGAATTTGGCTGGTATCATCTTGTTATTTTTTTGCTTGTTTTCCATTCAACTTGTATTATATTTAATGTTCATTGGAACAGACAATAAGTTTAAGGTTAATTATGTTGTATTACATTTAATGAATTAATTAGACTATTAGGTTAGGGTCGATTGTATGCATAGTTGAGTGCATAAAACGGTTCAAACTTCAGATTATAAATATGCAGCAACATCTTTATACCTCTTAAGTATGCCTTAAATTTGTATACTTTCTTTTTGTAACTAAAATAGTAGTTCTTAATTTCTTAAATTATTATCATAGTTATATATATATATATATATATATATTGGATCCAAGGTAGGATTCGTCTATATTAGAGTTTTTGCTGAATGAGATTTTTATTAATTAGAATAAGTTGTTTTGAATAAGATATAGTAGGAAATTTGGAGCAAGTAGATTGGATACTAAGCTCAAGTTTTTTTTTTTTTTTTTTTTTTTTTTTTTTACTTCATAATTACTTAATGAAAAATGAATAATTTATTATTTTAAAATATTTTAATGAATAAATTATTATATTATAATTATAACTTAAGTTTGGATTATGAAATTGCCCAAAAGTTTGACTAAGTAGTTTGCCTTGTTGTGCAAAGTATAAAAGCACATTTGAATCACAAAATGTACAAGAACATGCCAAAAATTGTATCAAAGTGCTGATTGGTATATCAATGATATACTAAAGGATTTTGATTAATTATTAGTGTTTGTATGTAAATCAAGATTTTTATAAGTTGATAAAGAATTTTGAA